CACGGAAATTTATGCAAAATAGCTGCCCTCTCTTTCTCTCACGAAGCAACGCGACCCATTCGCGGGGGCGTCGAGCGAGGGGGGAATGAACCCGATTCCGTGACCCAGGGATCCTCCACTCCCACGCTACCCCCACGGAACCCCATAAATCACAGATAACGATTGGCAAACAGGGAATCCAACGAGTATCCTACGTAGTGTTTCCCGTCGGGCACGAGGCCGCGATCGTGAAGCGAATCGTAAGAATCCCGTTGATATACAGGGAGCCCGACCGACAGACACTATTTTCGTGGAAAATGGCCCGTTTAGTGACGGGTACGTATTTATTATGTAAATTGAGGGATATACCGAGTAACGAGCCGGACGAGGAGTGAACTTGTTGCGTGGTTTATTCGTGAAATAAACACCGGAGCTTCGATCGTCGTATAAAATATGTAATACATATTTCATTTCGAATCGGTGAATTTGATGTTATTGCCGGTGTGTTCAATTGAATGAATTACGGGTTGTACTGTTTTCGTACGCTGTTTCCATTTGGAAAGAATTATGATCATTTATGTGTACGATGTTTATGTAGTACTTTACGGATCTACACTACCGGGCGGAGGTATAAGATCAGAGTTCATGATTGATGGAACAGTAACTGTACAGGCTGAGGCATTTAAAACAGGTCACTTGAATATCGTTGCTGTTACTGGTGATTAAAAAAATGTGTCAGACCAAAGTTACATACTATTTAGGAACACATAATTTGATGTGAATAGTTTTTTGATAAGTGGACGCATAGAGGTCATATGAAGGTCAACTTCGTTTTTTTTTAATATAAAGATATGTTGTTTTATGTACTTTTCTGCTGGGAAACTCTACTGTAATATATTTAAATAATCTGGAAACATGATTCTTACAAATGAAACTGACAAGAACAACCGCCATTTTGAGAACAGAAATCGGCAGGAGTTTCAATTCGTGTTTCTTATTTTGCTCATAATATCTTAATTATTCTTTCATATAATTTAAACACTGCTGTTACATTTCTGCTCGCAGAACGCGTGAGTAAATTACACTTTGAAGATGCGTAATCGGACCAAGCATTACGTATGAAGTTACAACAGTTGCTTTTGTATTCCTGTATTTATTATTGTTCCTCTTTTATTCGCGGCAGCGCGTATGGTGCACCGTGTAAATTACTTTCGGAACAAAATCATACTGTTTTTTTATATAATTATGAAATACGAATACACTGTGTCCGACAGCGCTAATAAATTCCGGGGTTTCGCGCTTGCGTAGAAATTATTGGATAACGGCGTTAAATAAACCGTCGCGATGCCGGATAAATGCAAATTCAGTTTATCTGTAACGGCTTATTGCGTTCTTTATTCCCGTTGGCCTCTGAGTTTTCTCTAATAACAATTTCGCCATCGTTAAACGGTAAATCGCGGATATTGCCCGGTTAAAATCCGAAATTTCCTTTTGTTAATATCCTGAAGAGTATTTATAATTTTGTGAAATTTACTTCCCCATTTGCTACTTCTTTTCATATTCATCCTAAAACGGTCGAAAATCTATACGAAATGATATAACCCAGGAATCGAATAATTTGGTGGACACAGAAACTTATTAAACCAAAACAATGGCTGTTTAACCCTTCTCCAAATTATGGGGGCCCTCCCAAAATATTTAATCTAAGCACACTTTAATGTGTGTTGATATAATTATTTGAAAGTCTATGTAATCCTCTATTACTTCATCCAGTTTGTGAATGTTGCAAAGCAAATTCATTGGCACTTACCAGTTCCAGAAATAGTAAGTCTAGAGAACCATCTAAATTTGGAAATTCGGATAAGGGTTAAGAGTGTACAATATTGGCCCAGAACACTATAAGGAAGCAATGTTTACAACTCTTTTAATGAATTGATCCTATGTATTTGAAATTTTGCTCCTTTATTTATACATATTATAAAATGTGTTATATTCTATCCATATAGGAATATTAGTTCATAGTATACATATATTAATAAAAAAACTTCAAGAAGAAAAGTAAATACACCCTTCCAGCAAACCTAATTTTTCAATGCAAAAGGAAAAATACATTTTCTCATTATGTCTGCATACAACCCCGAACACACACGAATATCAAAGCAATTTGAATTATATTTGAATAGATACGATATTTAATCGATGAAAAGAACGAACGAATAATGAACGAACGCAATCCGTTGGCAATTTTAAAATACACGCCATTTTCCGCCCCTGTTTTCCGCGCGGATGAACTTTACGGTCAGAAAACAATGTTGAACGTATCACGTAAGAATTACAATAGGATCCCGTAAAAATGTTCGAACAATAGAACTTTATGGAGTGATTCTGCGTGGATGCGTAGCAACCATACGAAAATAGCGGGAAAAAAACAGATACGAGATAGGGGTGGGAAAGGGATGAAACAATCCCCAGCAAATAGCTAAACGCTAATGCGAACAATTCTTTCGCGATACAACCGTTGCAGCTCGCTCGATTTATCACAATCGTTTGCATTCGCGCCCGTTTTATTTACCGTAAAATGGCCCCCGTGTCGCCAGGGGTGGGGCGGGACTTTACCCGGCCAATTAACCGCGACAAGTAGCGATCGACCGCAAGAAATAAGTGCTCGAGCCTCTATTTCCAACGTGTCGATGGTTTAATCAACGCGTGCATCCGCAGATAATAACGTGTTACCGATATAACGCACGGGAGCAAAGAATTAATCCGTTCGTCGCGTTTGAATCGAACGAAAAAACGGCCACCAACGTCCTTTAAATGGACACGACACGTCGGTAATGACGATGGGATTTAACGCTAGAACGACACCCTTCCTTTTTTGTGGTCAGTAACATCGTGAGATCTATAGGAATAATAAAATCTTAATATTTAAAATGGTATTTAATATTTTCAAGCTATTCTACTTTCATTCTTCTTTAAACACCTTAGAAAATAACAACTGCGCAGTGTGACCTTTGTTAGAAAGAAGATAAAGAAAAAGTAAAGAAAAGCAGAATGTTCTAATGTTTATTTTTACGTCTGTAGACAAGATTCAAATTTTGCGGGGTCGTCGGTAATGACAGGGTGGCGTTCCAGGATTAAAAACGAAGTGTGAAGGATCAGGGTTTAATTTTACGAGCCTGCTGTAACACGGTATTATTGAAGGTGATTTGAAGTCTCCGTTTTCCTTTCGAATCGAGAATCGATCTTTCGGTAAAACTTTTCGTGCAGGATAAATCTGAAAGTACTTACATTCAAGTAGAATTGCTGTATAAATGAACACTATCTATTCCGACCTCCTTAGCTCAATTGTCCTACTACGAGACATTCTGAAACATTCAAGAGAAATGAGGTTATATAATTTTCTTTATGCCATTTTTGTATGTTATCACAGGACATTTTAATGTGAGAAACGGTTTAAATCATATTTGCTTTAGTTTTTTTATGTACAATTGAAATATTCGCAACTGAGGTGCAAACAATTTAAACATGATACTCATCATCGCCATTATTATTGGTTGATTGTAAAATTATGTGAAAAGCAGTTAGGATAAATATATTCGGCTGTTTCTAGAACCGTACAAAGCACGCAGAACATTCTAATTTCAATGAACAAGCGAGGAACCTACGGAGCTCCAAATATTTTGTGGCGGCACGTGAACAAACGCGCCGCCTCATAGACGACGTGCCGATCAGCGCGTTGCGACAAGACGCATTTCGGCTGCTCGGGCGAAAGTTCCCGGAACGGCGAGGACCGTCGTCTGTATACATTGTCGAATAATCGAGAACGTTCTCGTTCGATGCGTCAGACGACGGCCCTCTTGAAAAGCTGTCCCGGGGACACACAAAAAGGGCAGTCAGGCCTCAAGTGTTGCACGAGCAACAACGTTCCGAGCGATCTTAGACAAAAGCGTAATAAACGATTTACGAACGTATATGTGTGGATTATTTCACCCTAACGCCGATTTTCCCCACAATTTCAAAAAATCTTGAAAGACGGTAATTTATTAGATAGAACATTTTCATTAAAGAGAGCACTATTGGCTTTACAGAATATGAAGAAAAACCACTCGGAGAAATTGTTTATTCATCCTGAAACTCGAGCAAACACACTATTAAAAGGATATCATTATAGAATGAAGGTGAATTCTATAACCCAACAAGTGCGCAAGGGAACCGAAAAACGAAAACTTACAAAATCGTTTACAATCCTCGCTGACAAAAGAGAACGTATGAATATTCTGTAGGATTACACAGAAACGGCAGTACTTAAAATAAAAAAAAAATCGGTTAAACATCGTAAAATTCGATAAGCTTCTGCATAATCTCGCCTTTTTCATTCTTGTTACCCTCATTGTGTTCTTGCAATCGACCCAATTTTGCGCCATCCGTGTCACATTTCTCATTTACCGTAAGCAATTCGTTCCCTATTTACACGCATTACCACCGAAATAACAGACGTCTCGTTCCCTAATCCATTTACCACGAATCGAATCGCGGGCAAGTCAATAAACCCCCGAAAATTGAACTCGAGGATCCATAAAAAAGACACTCACGATAAAGCCAAGCGAAAGTCATGCTCGGTGGTTGGTCCTCCGAGGATAATACTACAGGAACCGTTTCAGGTCGACCCTTTTTTCGGGGGAAGGGAAGTGACTTCTTCAGCATGCAGCAGGGAGCGCGGGAAATTTGACATAAATCAGGAATAAGTTTCGTTCGTGGTTTCGAATGCATACGGAAACACGTTCTGTATGGGAAAGTAGCAGAAAAAACAAGAAACCCCGTCCAGTATTCTCAGACCTCCGGGTTTCTCTGGCTAAAAAGCGGATTTTTGAACAAGTCGCCCGGTAACACACGCGCGGAAAAATCAGAAACACGAGACAATGGAAGACTAGTGGTGGGGGTTGCATACAAATTCGTGGTTTATAACCGTAGCTCTCTACGTTCTTCTCTTTTTTTCCAGGAGGACACGAAACCTCGCAAGGATGCGGGACCGGCTATCGTGGTACATGGTCTTTCTGATCCTGCCGACAATTCTCCTGGCCAGGTCGCTCGATAAAGGTAAATAATTTTCTTGGGGCATTTAACCTGTCTTCCCTCCACCCCCTACCACCTACCCCCTTCCTCCCCTGTTCCCCCCGGCGGGGATATAAGTTTTTCTTCAAATCCACGACATTTTTTTTCCTTGACACAATTCCGGAATTCGCCGTTCTATTTCGAAAAATGACTGCGACCTCGGACTATAATACGATACCCCGTATCCCCGAGGCTGATCAATAATTTTTCGATCCTGCGCGCGATATTGCAACACTGGGTGCCGCTCGAACAGTCACTTGATCGGCGGAAGTTCATTTTTTTACTTTTACGGATTCGTTTGGATAATAATACTGGCGGATCTTGATGAGATAGTTCGCGATGTATAGGTACTCGACTCAGTTCGAGTTTGTGATGGAGAGTGTGGGTGTTTGCGCGAATATTGCCGTCTTGTGGAATCTAGTGAAATGGGAATTATTTGGTGTACTAATAAGTAATCCATTAACAGTTTAATAATTGTGAAATGACATATTTTAATGAATGTAATTTAAATAATATAGATCCTTCATTTGTATAGGAATGAATACTGATTCCGTGAAGAAATATAACGGGTTACTTAGTAGTTCATCTAGTAAATAGGAATTTCTTTCTTTCATTAAGATTCTTATCGCGTTAAAAATGAAATGGAAATTTCAACCTAGATCTTCGTTTTTTAATATAGAGTGTGTATCATGTTTTTAAAGTGGACAATGAGTTTTCGAACAATTTGTGTATTCTAGTAAAGAGTGATCGATTTCCTCAATTTGCAAATATGGAGGCTGATATTGTTCGAAGCCTATTCCTGTTTGAAGTTTCTATTCTCTTTAAAGTAAAAGGTTTCAAATAAATTATGAATTATACGTATAAGGCTATTCGTTAATATTGAATACAGTGTCAAATATAGTACATGTATGCGTATCGCAATTTTATTGAGTGTTTTAGTAAATAATTGCGAACGAAATATCAACTGTTGGAACTTCAATTTAATTCGATAGGTAGGTTGTGTAAGAATTCGTATCGCATTGAAGGGAAACATAGTGAAAAGGAATTCTATTAATATTTGACAGAAAAAATTCTTTTTACTGAAATGTATAATTAAATAGATGCTTTTATGTTGATGAATTTAATTAATGTAATTGTAAGGTAATTTTAAATATATGAATTTCAACGAATGCAGTACTAAAGACAATTCTAAATTAGCGTCATAAAATTTGCATGCATTCTCTGCCATTACAAAGGATACTCAAACCATTCATTTGATGACATTTTCACTGTACACAGGAATATTGAATTACACTGAATCCTGTATAATGTCAAAGTACGCTTATAGTATAGTAGTATAGTAAGTTTATTGTTTTCAGCCTCCTTGCCAAGAAAATGCGACTCGGTTTACACATATTTTCCCTATTTCTTTCACTTTCATTACCACATTCACTCAGCTCTTTTTCCTGATTTAATGTTATAATTACTCCTATATTATTACCCCCTCCTACTCATTATATTCTGTTTGTTTTATTATTAGCTTACTGTTACCTTATCAATTCTAACCTATATCTTAATATTTGGCTTTATTTTGCACATTTAGCCCACTTTCTATTCAAGAAGGTTTTCTCTTTTTATTGCAATCCTTGTATTCAGTTTTTCTTTTTCCTTTAAACTCTCTTTTACCAGACTCCTTCCTTCACAATCCCTGACCCCCTTTTCAAATTTCCATCAAAGTACGCTTATAAAGATTAATCAAATAATTTAGAGACATGTGTCATAAGTAACTAGATCGTTTTATTCCAAATAAATAGTTCGTAAACGAAGAATAAATAACCAAAAATATATAAACTTTCGCAAAAAACTTGTTCCAAATCACGTCACGAGTGACATTTCAAGAATCTACAACACTTTTGTTACACCCTGTATATCATCCAACAACAAATGATAACCACCTCCATCCTTGATTCCCAAACGTGCATAAACGAGGGGAGTATTAATACCCCGAATCTATTTGCCAAAAAAGTTAGAGACCAAATGACCAAAACGGCGCCAAGCGAGCATTACATAAACCCTTTATTCATCACAACAATAATTAAACGCCAGTGCAGACTAAAGAGCGATACAAGATCCTCCAAGAAAAAAAGAAAAGTTAAAAAAGAGACAGAGAGAAAGAGAGAGAAAGCGAGAAGAAAACGCGGAAAGCTCGCTAACCTCGCGAAAAATCCCACTAGTGCGCACTTGCCCTCCTCTCCCCTCCACTCAAAAGTGGCTGTGAATTGGGAATACTTAAGGTAGAAAGAAAAGAACACGATCCTGGCCAACTAAACTGGTCGAAGCGAAGTAGGAGCACCTTTAGCTCCACCCTGTAGACCCCGGTTCTCGTCTCGTTGTATAAGGTTTCGCATTGTCTCGCGGAAACAAAAGGCAGGTAGCTTATGCCCTGCATTCAAAAGCTCACAAAGTTCAGTCTCAAGTGCTTGTCTTTTCGCCCAGACCCTTCCACCCCCGTCCCAATCCTACCACCCCCTCCCCCTCAACCGGTGCTTCTCCATTTCTCAATTTTCTCCCTTTCCGTTTACGGATTTCTCTATCCATCTACCCTTCCTCATCCACCGCGCTTCACATCAACTCAGTTTTTCCTTATTTTCTGGTAAATGTAACTTCTCTTTACTGAAGCACTCCGGTTACTTTCGAATTAACTTCCCTGTCTTTTTTTCTTGAAAGGGATGTACCCCTTTTTTGCATCCAAACGGCCCTCTACGCGTTAAACTTCTCTACTGGTCTTCTTTCTCCCTTGAATCACATACCTCTTCACCCCACTTCCACGTTCATAAACCCGATTAATTAATATTAAGCTCACGAGGCGCATTTTTTCGACTGGGAATGCCGTTTTTCGAAGCAGTGGGCGAGAGTTTCGACTTTGATCGTCTGTACGACTGCTCAGGAAACTTCTACGTTTAAATATGGGAGCATATGGTACTTTCTGGATTAAGCTGCGCGTGCATAGTGGCGTGGGCCGTTTCTCATGGGGAACGGTGAAATGGGGGCAAAAAGGTGGGGCAGATGTTTCGACATACGTGGGAGTGGAGCGACGTTGCATTGCTGGTGAACCCTCGATGCTAGTCCACTCGTACCCCACCACCACTTTTTTGACTCCAAGAGAATGAATTTAGCAGGGTGACGGTATTTTACGAGTCTAACAATTCTTCATTTAACAATGAAAACAAAATTCCCGAAAAATGTATATGTTTCTTTATATAACAGGGTGTATAAGAATTCCTACAGTTCTCGTTACAAGGAGAAATGCCATTTTTGCAGTATCTTCGTTCAAGAACATTTTAGTTTGAGAACAAACTGACCTGTACACGTAAAAGTGTGAAAAATATATTGCCAAATGATTAAAAGCATAACCAATAGGTACAATAAACATTTTTGTATTAATGAATGAAAAATTTAATCAGCATGTGAATTGCATCAATTTATAACATGCGTCGACAGAGTACTCAAGGGACCGTTGTTCCGTTATATCAATTAAATACAAAGGTAATTAATTAAATACCGTTTAATTAATTATTAAATAATAATTACCATTATTAACTAAATAATAATATTGAGTAAATGAACATTTTCAATCAGAGGCGCGAAAGCTGTTTGAATATGAAACAAAGAATTGAAAAATATTGATATTTAATCATTTCGGTACGTGTTCATTTACTGATGCATTCACCCTATATTTTTGAGAAGATATATTGAAAGTACAATTTGGCCCGAAACATCAGACAACCGCTGTATAAAATAATAAAGATAATATATACCATTTTAAAAAAAATTTTTAAATCAAACATAAATTATAAACATTTTTTTGTTTTGATTAAACCGATTGATTTTCTAACTTGGAGAGCTATCGTACCGTATGGAGACAACGAAGGAAATTATACAAAAAGCAAACAAAAAATTGTAGAAAACCTAAAACCAGGAAAAGAAGAAATGATAAGGTAATCCATTGTTTTCATACGATACGACATATCTCAAATAACTATTTATAACTTCGAAAATATTAATTTTTTGACCAGGACATTTTTTTAATCACTTGATGAATACTATCCGTCCTATAATATATGAACCCTTTCTTTCATCATCCTGTATATTAAAATATCTTCGAAAATACTGCAGAATCCTTTATAAATCCTTTCCTTTCAATTGGAATGAGACTATTTTTCAATGATCCGACATCACGCATTCCCCCCAGGTCCCGGTCAATAGCTTCGGTTGCTTCGACACCGTAAACATGAAAAGTCACTGAAAGGTGCAGTCGACTGCGAACGACGAGCGAGACTCGTATAACCCCCACCCGCCGGGTTAACAGGTTAAACGTCCCGGGCGACACTTGCCAGGCATCGTTTCAAGTAGTTTACCCGTTCAACCGACGATCTCTGACTGGTTTCAGACCGACGTGTACCGTACAGCATACCGTCAGATTGGAAAACCCTGTGGTTCAGCAATCTCGACGAGCTCCAAAGAGTGAACGAGGCGAACGACAACAACACCGTCTCGAATGTCACGGTCCAGCTGGGCGGCACCGCGTTTTTGCATTGCAAAGTTCGCAATCTGGCGGAAAGAACGGTGTCCGACGCCGAGGTAAGAAACAACGGTCGTCGTCGTTCACAGTTTCCGGTCTCCGGACCGCCATACATCACACCAGCGGATAGTGTCCCGCCGGCAAGAAGACTGATTAACGATCGTCGACGGCCTGTTACAGATATCCTGGATAAGACGACGTGATTTTCACGTGTTGACCAGCTCGATGTTCACGTACACGAACGACGGGCGGTTCCAGGTGTTGCATCCAGAGGGCTCGGAGGACTGGACTCTGCAGATCAAATACGTTCAAGAAAGGGACAACGGGACGTACGAGTGTCAGGTAACCGTTCGCTGTATTGCTCACTGTTTTGTACAGTTCCTGGCTATATTAAGGGGAGAGTCTGGTGTAAACGGGCTAAAAATGAGCGAATTTTTTGGAATTTATTGTGAAGAAAGTATTAAACCAATCCCTTTGAAACTTTGTGAATACTTTATTGTACAATTAAACTGAATAGAAAGTGTTATTTTCACGACGAATCTATGAATATTATAATTATAAGGACTTATGTACAGCCCGTGAGCAAAAAAGGTATTCCACGCTGGGGTATGTAACTATAATATTTATGGATTTGTCTTGAAAATACAAATTTTTGTATTCAGTTTAATTGTACAATAAAGTGTTCACAAACTTTCGAGGAAAAAATGTAGAGATTTCCACATCACTCACGCAACGTACATGACTTTGGAAGCAAAAAAAAAATAAGTGAGCCACTACAGTGGCCCTTCGTTAAAAAACCGCACCCAGAGGGAAGCCACTACACTAGAGCTTAGTACCTAAGGGTTGAAAAGTATTTTAATAATGCATTTTCGAAGGTTTTTCGTAACTTTTACAAAATTAGTTAATTTATAAATTTGTATAGTTTCTAATAGATGTCGTTTTTTGATATAATAAAAACAAATGTACGTTTATCATCGGTAGTTCCAGTGATAATCATTATCGTTAGTTTCTCGTTAAGAGCCAAAGACCTGAATTACGCGTGAACCAGTTAACTTCTGGTTATACATTGGTTAAGACATTCTTATTTTCATTCTGGCTGTAGTTAAAACGCTGTACGTGTTTATCGTGATTGTAAACTTGGAGTATGTGTTCATTGTTATGGGGTTTTGATGTTGATCATAATATCAGCAGTAAAAAATGTCGGGTTATAGTCATTAGGAAGTTATTTCATGCTACCACTTGGCAATATCGACGCTTTATGTCTTGGTCGTTTGCTTTATGATCCAGAACCGTTTATAGTCTTGACACTTTTCGAAAATTTGTACCTCTAAATCCAATGACTCGGGACGTTTTAACAAATTTGACACCTGATATCGTAAAACGATTCCCTGGATATTAAAGAATCGATCCATCTAAAGTGATTTATGTGGGATTCGAAGAATCCAAAATCTTCTCTATAAGTTTTCACGAGTTATGGGTTATTTACACACCATAAGGACAAACATTTTTCATCATTACTGTGTATGTATTCTTCCGAAAACATCATTTGAATAGCTGTATTCTCTTATATGAATTAAGTAACGTATTTCGAACTTTTCATAAAAAAAAATTAGACTTCCAGGTAGATTATTCCAAGGAGTTAATCTTACCGTGTGTGTCCTTAAATGGCCAAAGACTTTACGTTTATATATTATATTTCATGAGTTCTGAATCTTACTTATTCCAAACGAGGTATTACACTACAAATTATATTTTACACGAACGAATAACCAACGTTATATTTTTTTTTTTGTATTCACTGCTTTCAATCCTATACTGTTTTTATGTTTTGTTACAGGTCTCGAGAACTACAGGGATATTATCACACTTTGTCAATCTAAATATAGTAATACCAGAAGCATTTATATTAGGGAGCGACGAACATCACGTCGACGTAGGATCCATTATAAATCTCGTGTGCATAATAGAAAAGGTAAGCAGCTTTTAACAATTATTACTCTATTATCATTGTGCAAATTCAGATTCTTATAAACTAACATAAAAGAAATGGGGATTAGAGCATTAGTTGTCGTATTCGAGATCTTTTTGCACTGAAAAAGGAATAAGTCCTTTATCACAAACCTTGTTTAAGTGTTTCTTTAGCACATTCGCGTGTGTTATAAATGCGACCGCAGTCTATTCATAATCTGCTCCTAATATTTCTAATAAACTTTCTCAACTGACACCTTAAAAAAATTACACCTTAAAATACCACCTTAAAAAAATTATTCGATATCATTAAATACGTAATTATTCAATCAAACTGTTTCACCCATTCATTCCAAAATTATTTAAAAATTACCAAAGAAATATTTTTGTGTATATTACATGACATATAACTGATTCACAAAATCATTTTAACATTTTGGAACTGTCTAATGCCGTTTTGCATTCGTTGCCATTTGACAATTTTTTTACTTTTATCACAGTTATATGTAATAATTCCCATTATAATGTTATTCTACATAATAAAAACCAATTTTTCTTAGCGTTAATCAACAAACCCTCTTGAAATATTTGAAAGAAATTAGAGTTTTGTAAGTTTCTGTTGTATTTGTAACAATGCTCAACATTTGAATTCCATCAAATGAAAGAGACAAAGTGTATGTTACCGGTGAGCTTTTAAATGCACATTCGAATCTATGCCATACAATCTATACAAGACTAGATGAAACTATTATATACTCACAGGTATGGAAAGACACATGATACTAATATTTGATATGGCACCAATAGGAATGAAAGGGTTAACAAATCCTATAATAAATTCTACACGATACCATCGAAACTGTTACACATTCATCCGTACTTTCAAAAATCCAGATTCTCGACAATCATAGTAACCAAACAACAACCAACAAAGAAACCTCACACGCACTACGTATATTCTATCAGCAACGTGTCGCGTAATGAACATCCATTTGAATTCCACCGTAAATCCAGAAAATCTTTCGCCTTTGCGCTCGCATATGCCGTGAAAAATATAAAAGAAAAAAAAAAGAAAAAAACCTATGCAGTATCGCGCTATCTTTTATTACCGGCGTTCTTCGGAAGGAGTTCATTTATCGCGTACAATAAATATCCCGTCTATTTACGCGTGACCCATTGATACATAATAATCGCGTCGCGCATACGGTTCCCCCGGGGAATAAAAGCCCACGACGGGCTGCCGCCGCCACGGCGGGGTCCATCCGCTTAAGGCTACATAGAAACGCACAGCTTGCAGTTCGTGCGAACATTGAATGCGCCTTCGTGAACCGTACAACACACCGCGGGCGGAAAAACCTCCCGTTGAAATAGGCGCGCGCGCACGGCTTAGTCACGAATACAAGAACGGGAAGTGCATTAAAGCGGCATTGCTCGACGCTGCTGCAAACTCGACACTATCGGTGAAATGAAAATAAAGTGTGTGGCGTACACCGTTTCTCCCCCACCCTCCCCTCCCAACGTGCCCCTCTATGTGGCTCGCTGCCCCCAGAGACGCGCTTCGGCCAGGACAAAAGGAGCCCAGGTCCCTTAAACGTCTAATGCACGGGACTACGACGGAAGTACACTTCGATACCGCGAAAATGCACTCAGGAATCGAAGCGACGCCCACCGAATTGATAGTATTACGGTGACAATATGGCTCCCCCACACTGGGCGTAGGTATAAGATGCGGTGTGTTCGTAAGTACTTTATATTACGCGCCGTCCTGAAATGGCCAATAACAACGGGCCCGGCTGTCGATGTAATAACGGATGTTGGCGAGAGCGATTGAATTGTGTTTTCTCGAAGATTTAAGGTTAGGTCGTCCGGATGATGTTTGGGTACATACACGTATAGTTGAGCGATATTAGGCTCACTTTATGGGCGTAGCCAGGTTATCAGTCGGGGGGGGGGGGGCAAAAATATTAACACATTGACTGCCACAGTGAAAAAGGCCGTACGTATCCAGACAGCCTTTATTTTGTTTTTGAAGACATAAATCGGTGAAAATGTATTCGTTTTGTTAATAGAGGCTGTTGATCGTGTTTCAAATTATACTGCAATATTAAATATTCTGCAAAAATTGAGTAACTCTGGGTATGGAGGGTCGTTAAAATTCCATTTTTTTCTTGTAGGGTGGGGCAAAAGCCACTTTTTTGCGTTCAGGATGGGGCAGTGCCCCCCTACCCCACCCCTCCCCCAACTACGCCCTGGCTCACTTGTGTGTGTTTATTAGAGGTTATTTCTATATTTAGAAAAATGTTGATACCTGTTGTCACTGAATATGGTATTATTTATTATTGACGACAGTTTAGTGATGTAAACGGCCGAAAGATAATGGGATTGGTCTGACACAAACGGATACCGTATCGTTTTTCAGTGTTTAAGTAGAAATACCGAATATTAGTCATATTAGTCGGACACAATCATATTAAGGGGGTATTCTACTGTGACGTGCAATTTTTTTTAAGTCTTTTTAAGAATTTTTATGCTGAATTTTGTTTTGTGTATTTATTATATTTTAAACTATAAATAAAAATGTTGTTTTGTTGAAAACATGAAATAAAAAAGGCACTACAGCCCATAAAACTCGACCACTTCGAAAACCATTACTCGATTAGTTGCCATGGTTCTGATCGTTCTGTTTGACTGGAAGAAAAAGACTGAAAAGATTCTTAAATTATTCAGACATGGCTATTGCAGATACCAGGTCTGGGTTGAAATATTGAACGTTGTAAAAATGGCTACAATTTGAAAATTAAGTATCGATTTTTGCAATAATTTTTCGTCTCTATCGGGCTGTAAAATTAAAAGAGCAAAATATTTTGAGCTTAATTCTAGTAGAATTAAGTCTAAGAAGGGGCCGATCGGTCAAATAGAATTTGAAATATGGCAACTATTTTCCAAAACACGGTTTTAAGAAAAACGCGTTTAAAGTTTGCATGCAGTATGAGCACACGGTATACGCGTCGTCCTTTATTCCTCTATAGGTCTGACAATTTTATGAATTTTACGATAATGATTCACAAACACACTTTTAGTACCGCAAGCTATAATCAAATGCAAGAAAAAAGAAAATCCATTCTTTTGACCAGCTATAGTAGAATACCCCCTTAGGAAATGGTATTTATATTTTCATCTCATTTCTCTAAGTCGAAATACATAAAGTTCAAATTTAATTCTACGTACAAGCCCTGGAGTCACATTAATTAAAGGAAGAACCGCTGATTACAAACTTTACAAAAAACTCTATAAGACTTGGCGAGCTTTCAGAATGACAAATCACAGAAGCAAAAAACGACCTGTGAGAGTGGTCAGTTTTAAAAGTACATACAAAAGTTCAGACACTATCTCGAAATGACAAATAATATTGAAAGTAATGGAAATGAAGAGTATTGGATTTCAGAATCTCATTTCCTTTATTCTTAAGCTTCTTAATCAATTAGAGAACATGATAAATTTTGAATATTAATGATACAATGAAAATGTTTTCCGTGTGTCTTTAAAAAATACAGAGAAAATCCCAGTTCTCAGAATGCATTTACATTAAGAAATAGTCACATTCACGTTCAAAGCAATCCCGTATGAAAGTTAAAGGAAAGCTTTGGTTTTCTGTAGAGACGCTTACGCGGATATTGTCAGTTGCGATATGGTATCCTCAAGCAACGTTTCCATGTGCGCGTTAGATATAAAAGCCGCACGGAAAGAACGATTTTCTTGGCTTCGGGAATACTTCAACTGCATACTGCTAGAACGAAGTAAAAGAGATCTACTCACGTTCGGCGGAATTCAGAACAAACGACTGACTTCGACGTTCTATTTTACTTCATCCACTTCGCGCGAGTCGCGCGCTGCCGGTCCCTCTCGTCAGAGAAATGCATTCGATTTAAACACCAGATACGCGCTGGAAATTGTCGCCCGCGCGAGACAATAACTTTTCCTCCTTTCTTTTTGTTTCGCGACTCGAACCGGTTAACCGAGAGAAAAAAAAGAGGGTTTAACGTTGAAAAATGGAAAAAGTGGGTGTATCGAGGGGAGAACCTGACGCAACACTGCCGCCATATTGACGCCGATCGATTGTCTCGATAGTTATCGAACGATCGATAGTTGCCCTTATGCGGACAATCTGAACCGAATCATTTTCAAATAGGGTGGATGCACCAGTAAATGAACAAATACTATTGATGAACATTATACATAAGAACGAGTAAATTCAGTTGTTAAAATAAACAAATAATTAAATATTGATTTGTCCCAACTCCTTGTTTCATATTCATAAAATGTTCGCACCACTGCTTAGAAATGCGCATTTACTTAATATTGTTCATTCATCGGTGAAATCTGTATTTTTTACTTTTTAAATTAATTAATGACATTCTTCCAAGTTTTCAAATTGAAATCTATACGTTATAAAAAGGTATAAATATTAAAAAATCTAATTTTCATGCACCAGATATTTAATTCTGATATTGTTATTTAAAATTCGACTTCAACAGTTACAAAATTTCTTAAGTGTTCATTTATTGGTGCGTCGGCAAATGTTTCCGCTCATTACTATTAACATATTAGATAAAATTATATAATATACACGTATTAATTATATCTTTCTACAAATTTCAGAATAATAAGCATTGCATTGTGAAATATATATCAAAATGGCGGCATTGAGCATAGTCATTTAAAAATTACTTAATTAATTGACATACATACACGTTAAAACCTTTTTTGTTCAATTTACTAGGTTGAGTCATAGATGACCTCCATGTTCCTCTTTTATGTCTGCCCAAGATACTTTGTAATTAACATTAATTTATTATAAGTAGCGAAAGACATTTATGACTCAATCCCTATACATACGTATATTTGAAAGTATGTAGTTATAACCTGCAAATTAACTGCACCAGCGAATTAGAAATAAATGAAAAATAAAACATGATTTATGTATCGGTGAATGTTGAAAAATAGAATAAGATTCTACGAATGCTCTCAAAAACGAACGTTTTCCCTATTTCAGAGTCCCACACCGCCGCAGTATGTATTCTGGTATCATAATAATCGAATGATAAATTTCGATACTACGCGAAGCTTCGTAGTCGTACAAACCGACCCGAGTATGACCCAGAGTCGATTGACGATTCACGAAGCGGTGGAATCGGACACAGGCAATTATACGTGCAGCTCCTCGAATACCAAATCGGCGTCCATCTTTGTTTTTGTCACGGAAGGTAGATATATCAGAGATATCCTATCATTCTAATTAATCTACTCCAACTTCTTTATAAGTCTATTGTATATTTTCTACACTGCAAATACATGCCAGTGATAACACTGAACCAAACCCGTTTCCAATGCAATTTCTAATTACAAACCACGAAATCTGTTTCAGGTGACAAAATGGCAGCCATACAACGCCGTAAGACATCGGCCGCGGAGAAAAATTACTGTGAATTGCTAGTACTAATTGTCACCATTGCGATAGACGCCGTTTTAACGCGATAAGCGTTTCTCTTCGATATGTCCATAATTATTATTATACCGTTACTTCCGTTTGTGATAGATAGGCTACTATTCTGCGACTTTATTCCTCTATTCACTCTCCTTCTTTCCCTTTGAGCCTGAATATCTTCGTACCAATGCAATTTTTTGTTTCTCCTTCACAATTTACGTTCGTTCTTTCTTATACTTTTTCTTAGCCTTTCCCTCGACGCTGTCTATTGTAACCTTTTGTTTTAATTTGACTTGCCTACGTTATTACTTATTGCATCCTTTTTATCATTCCATCACTGTCAACCCTGTTACCGATAATTTGTTCCGTTTTGGTTTCATCGCCGAGGTTGCCGCCGGCTGAATTACTTCGATATACGAGATTTTCATGGTATAATATGCGTGTTCCATGTCCACGACTTGCGTGCAACTGAAATTGTTAAACCACTCACGGATAATTACAATTTTCTCTCTCTCCCTCTTTCTCTCCTCTCTGTTTAACCTCCATCCAAGCCTAGTCTCAAGTCACATCAATTTCTCTTCAGCGAAGTGCACATTAAAAACGGTCTGGACTAATAAAAATTATCTGACCACGTAGATCGTTTCGGAATCGTAAATACACCGGTCACTATTTTCTTTTTTCTACTACAGAAGGAAAATATAATTCTCCTCTAATCACTGTACGTGACCGAGTTACGTGAAACCCGTGTATCGGGTTCGTATCGAAAGGAAGCACAACTTTTCCAGTCGGCTAATTACCGCGAAAACAAAAAGCAATAAAACAGACATACTACGTTGAAAATATCGGTAACGCGAATTACCTCTATATTTATCGTCTATTTTTTCTACTGTCTTTGTATGGAAAATAATTAGTACAGACAAACACACACACATACACTTTCCGTTTTCGACCAATAATATCGAAAACCTCGGGACACGTTCTATCAAATTTCTTTCCCGGAAAAAAAAAGAACAGAACCGGCGGCAACTCGTTACTCGGTAGAAAGTTTTAATGAATGAAATGTTTTCCTCCCCCCCCCCCCTTCCACATCCCCTGAAACATCTGCGCGATGTCAATTTGCTTTCGCATATCTCTCCACTCGATTTTCCGTTCTCCTCAGAACTTCACAACGAGTTCGCGTCGTGGCAGTTTTCCCACCGAAAAGTTCCCGGCGTCGTTTTCGTTCCGATCGCCACACGCGATAGCAGACCCCGCTCCGAGAGCGTGCGTGAACGAAAACTTCTGAAATTGATATAGTTGCTCGCCTCGAATTTTGCGAGAACTCGCGCGCGCCCCTTTAAGCACCCTCGGCCCTACGACCTTCATTCTCACGTCGTTTCGTATAATTAATCACCCACTTAGGTCGTTTCAATTTCATTTTATCGACTACCACGTTACCGAACATGCGACCCGCCCACCGCGAGACCGATATCGCGCGGGTCCGCCATGATAAATCCACCGAAAATGTAAGAAATACCGATTGTTAGGTGTACCAATGCGTAATTCACTATATTTCTTTGATTATCCAGAAATATTATAATATAGTTTGAATCGAAAATGTTGCATTAGGAAATAATTAGGAATAATAACGATACACGGTATATTTTATTTCTTTGAAGTTTCAACCGTTGTGGTTGATAAATAGAAAATAACGAGGAAGGTTGATAAGAGACCATCTATATCTGATTTTCTTGCAAAGAAATACTGAATTTGGTAAACAATATACGAAAAAGACTGACAACCATCGGGAGAAAACTCAATTTCTTAGAGAAGAAGCAAATTTTACAAACATATCCGAAGCAAAAGAAACTCCTCGAAACCGATCCGACTTTTTTATTCTATATACGTTCTTGCCAAAAGAAAAATCGAGGGTCAAAAAGGGCCGCGTACACGGGACACTTCGTGATCGTTTCACAATGGTTTTAAAAGATTTTGCTAACTTTTAACTTCCCGTAGGGATCGTTGTGTACTCATCGACATTTCGTCTGCATTCGAACGGGTGATTACATTTTCGTCGGATCGACACACGGAACAGCATTACATATCGTGAATTACGTTAACGGTGCCCATTCAACTCCTCTGGAAGAACGGAAACAAATCTGAATATCAGGTTAGTTTCACCCGATCGTCGCGGCGACTCGAGCGAGCTCGCGAGAATGAGGGTGTTGTCAAAAGTGAACCGCGAATTGGCAATGCAGACGAAAAGTTTCAAAAGGGGATCAAATAACGAATATTGTATTTATTATTCGAGTTTAATAGGAATCCAGGAGGAAGCGAGAGAACCAAAAAAAAAATAATAATAAAGGAACTGCCGTGTCGGTCGAGACGTTGTAGGTGAGACCATTTTGCGTGCAAGCGTTTCAACGAGCACCACACACACACACACACACACATGCAGACATACATACACAAACACTCGTCGAACGAGATTTTACAATTCTTCGAGGTACATAAGTCTGCGTATTATTAGTTAGAATTTCCGGATGCATGCGCGCCACGAATTCACCCTTACGTTCCGTGTATATACATATACTACGCGGAGCAAAGAATTCACGTGAGCAATAGGATCGTACGCGTGTCGCGTGCTACCGTTATCGATTAAATAAGGGAGAAAAAGAAGTGTACGATAAAAGCATGGAAAACGAAGAAAAACAAGAAGAAGAGAAAAAAAAAGAACAGAGACAGAAGGGAAATAAAAGGAGCCACGACACTTAGAGTTATTTCGATCGATTCATTCACTCGCCACCCTCAATACTAACACCGCGGTTCGTTTGCGAGGAATACATTTCCAGCAGGACACCACCCCAACCCCCTTCTTCGTTTCACCTGTGTTAACCCCCGACCCCCTCGAACGAATTTCCGTCACACAATATCGAGGTACTCCATTAGACCTTTCAGAAAAGAACAAAAAAAACCAAGAGACAAACGAAAGAAATGGTAGTCAATCGTAGTTATTTAATAATTCCGATCTCAACTTACGAAAAAAAAAAAACTAGGGTTAACTTTAAACCGAAAGGAACGAGTATCGTACCAAGTCGAAGGAAACCATTCGGATACGGACGGATACGGCGGATGGACACGTTTCTACGGATAGAATTTGATTTTCCACGTAGACAAACGCGCAAGAGAAAGAGAGAGAGAAATGAGGAAACAGAACGTTCGTCGATGTTTGCGTCGGATCTATTTACGGGGGATAAGCAAGAGAACAAAAAACGATGATAGAGACGTAAGATCAGTAGGATAATAGGTAATAAAAGTCTTTTATTACTCGAAACAATTCGATCCGTCGCGCGACGCGTTTTACACGTTTCATCCGCGTGTGGTCCTCGACACATCGATAGTGGTTCTACCATAGGAGGTCTCTGTGTATTTACGGCATGTCGTATTGTACCGTCGCACCAACGAGACGTAATCCTTAAGTTCCCACCCCCATCGGGTACCGCTGCGCCCGCGGAGTTTATAACGTCGCGTCGCGTTCTCTCGTCGTCGATCGGAAAGTCTCTCGATTCGTTGAATTAATATATACATATATTTACATATAGGCGTTCTTGCGTGACTCGTGTGTGCGTAGGTTAACAACACGGAGAAAAAAAACGAGTTCTGTTTTCGTACGTTGCTTAACGTTCTCGCCTGCCTTTTTACGAACCCTTTTTGTGTCTTACTTCGAACATTATTCGCATCCGTTGAAACCGAATTTTAATAAAATCCACAATTGAAACTAACGAGTATTTCTTGACGCCTGTGTCACCACGCTCGTCGTAATTCTCTTGGATTATAATGACCGTTTTGCGAAGAATGAAAAGGAAAGAGGAAAGATTTAACCACGTGACGACGTACTGAATAACGATTATTATTGAAATCTCGACAATATTTTTCAGTTATACGCAAACGGTTTGTCCCGAGAAGTTCCGACGTTTAAATTGTAACAGCGATTCATTGAAATATCGATGACTTTTATTTTGCACTATTTATATATAGTTTACGATGTTAGCACTGTTTACGATATCGAACGGGTTTACGATGGTTGTAAAAGGCTGAAAGCATCGTCTTCCGATAAAATGGCGGAAGCAGAAGCGGTTAAGAACTTTGGCTTCAGGAGTCATCGATGTGCGCAACCTTTTTGTAATAATAATGATCAATTGGTCGAGCTAATTGCTCAATACAAAATTATTACCAGCAAGCAGACGATATAGAAAAAACGAAAAAGTAGAAAAAGAAAGTAGAAAATTGAGAAAGGTAAGGAAGATATAAATTTAATAGGGTACCATTAAACTTAATTCTGAAATGTTTTGACCCCAAAAGGTACTAGAGCTTGGTAACGTGCTATATTAACTTAAGTTAGCTTCCTGAGTCTATTTTCATTTCCTAAATCGAAGACGAAGATGAAAGAAAGACAGGTCCAATATAATTTGAAACGTTCATTAGACTTTCATTCCCGCACTCTCTGCCATCTTGAAAAAGGAATGCCAGAGCCACTTCCAGAAATTACAAAATTATTATTAAACTGTAGTTATTAATACCAGTTGAAATTTTTCTACATGATTTTAAGAAAACAGGAATTCGTTTATTTGATTAAATAATCATTAAGGTGTTTATTTTACGATATTATTTACAGTTATATCTGATATAAATGCATAAAATCCGCAGTTTATTTATTATTAAGAATGTATCTCCTTAAAAAGACACTACTTTAAACACTTGGTAATACTAGTCATCAATATAATGCGAATAATTGCTGTTTCAATTTTAGTTCGGAATGTTTTGCGACAAATCGTATGAGAAGAACCACCTACAGTGCGTGATTGCATATATTTATAAGAAATCTCACTACTTTCGACGACCGACTATATCGTTCTAATTAATAAGATGTTATTCGTTCGTAGATGATTCACGTTTAAAAAATACACGTATCAGAGTGGTACATATTAACATTTTCGCGATCAGAAATATAGTAGAATCTAAAGTGATTCTCGCAACAAACATAAAAATAAGAGCAATATATTGTAAACTATTGGATTCTCTCACAACCAAAAAGAAATTTGGAGCAGAGAAATTAAAATTCTTTACGAATCAGCCTTATATTACACTATTAATAGTTTGTAATTAAGAGAAAATATTAAACAAAGTATGTTTGTTAAAATCATGAAAGCGTAGTGTACATACCATGTGATCCCAGATAGCACATGACGCCTAATGATGCCTTGAAGACGGCTTAAAGGCGTCTTAGACCTGAAATAGCCGAAAAATTGGAAGGGATTGGGAATTTGATTGGAATTTGAATAGGATTAGTTCTTGTTTGAGAACTCGAGGACACAAGAGTACACCATTGGCTCCCAATTAAAAATTGTAAAAGAACGGGACCGTATATCCATCGCGAAAGTGTCAATATTTCAACGCAAAATACTCGAAGGAAGCAACTATTAATAAGATATTAATTTTCATTCCTCGAAAAGTTGGTCACTCGAAATCACAATTAATCTGTAAGTATTTAAGGGTGCAACAATAATTGTTCCTTTTATTATACATACCCGTTGCAACGAGGCTACGCGGGAGAAAAGCGTCGAAATCATCCGTAACGACGAAAGCTTTCATGAAAATGGAACGCGCGCGCGATCCTCATTCGATCGTATCAAGCGAAGTGAAGCCGATCGAGGAACTTTAACAGGCGAGCCGCTTCATCCCGTACGAGGGGGGCTATTTCGTTTCACAAATCAATACGAAAGTCAAGGAGGCGAACTTTACGACGGCTTCGTCTTCCCTTGATATTCCTCCGGTATATGCACGACTAGTGATGGGGTCGATACCGATAGTATTGATGATATTCAATCGATTCGATACCAAAGTGCATAATGGAAAGTATCGAACCGTATCGAAATTTTGATATCAATTATCGATACCGAGTCTTCTTGAAGCGATACCAAACCAATACGGTGCCGAATTAAAACTAGTTTCATACCTCACGGAGCGTAACGACACCTTTTGATATTGTATCGATACTTTCGTGTAGGTATCAAACAAGTATCGGTACATTCGTATATGTAAGTAATGATTCTTTTTGATACCTACGTCTTTGATATGTATCAATACCGAATCGATATTACCTAGTAGAACGATATCGATAGTATCGATACGGTGTCAGTCACATCACTACTCGCGATTCAGCACAGTATCCACCACCCCGACCCCGTGCGATCACGCGAAGACACCGAAGGTGAGTTTCACCGCGAGAAATCCGAATAAATTTCAATAAAGTCATTACGAAGTCCTTAACCGAGAAGTATTATATTGTTCGTTATGCAAGTATCACCCTGACTTAGCGATGATAAGAGTCTCGATTTCTTTGCGTTTGGATACCAGAGATGGACGCCACATAAAAGTTAAAAGGAAATTGTCGGAGTAGATTTAGAAAAATTTACACGTTCGTACACATACAGACACACATACATACAGAACTTGGATGACTCCGAGGAGTTGCGGATAAAGAATTCTTAAGAATAATGGAGACGATATTGTTTATGTTATGATTATACATCTGAAATCCCGAGCCCATTGCACTCTTTCATCCTGCACTCCAAAGGAACGCCTGTACTATCCTTCGAGAGGAGAAAAAAGGTAAGGTCATTATTTCTTCTTCCGGCAAAAGCGTATTTTCCTGCTATGAAAATAAGTTGGTTAATTTCAACGAGCACAGAAGTCTCGTGGACTTTTATTCGAAGCTGGATTTTTATGATTTGCTTTTAGTATCTGATAAATTCGTACGTATAGCGTTCCTCCATGTGCAATTTAATTAGTTGATAACGACAATGGTAAATCGATTTTCCAGGAATAAGTATGAGTATGGTAAACAAAATGTATCTACTATGAATTCGAATATTTTAAAAAATTAGAAAATACTAAAAATACATTTCTGTTTTATAAACGCAAGTTGAAATATATTATGTATCCTGCGAATGTCGGTAAACAAGAGTTCTATATTTTATATATATATATATATGTATATATATATACAATACATATATGTAAATATATATATATATATACAATACAGTAAATTTGCACTGACTTTCGGTGAAATAAAGAATTTCAAACAGGCAAGAAGGGAAAATGATGAAATATTTTTAATCATTTTCCAGTTGCATCTTTCCTTACTTAATAAACATTGAAGTTTCTTTGAGAACTTAAAGTTAGGAGAAATAACAAGTATCATATAAAAAGTAAAAAAAAGCTAAATAAAGCGAGGAGCAAAATCATTACTGGTATCAAAGAGACATTATTGCGTGTGCAATGACGAACAAGACAAGTGGAACAATGTCATTACCCCCAATCCATACCACAATTATTTCTGTCATGCCTTATTATGCATAATTTTCATCAATTTCTACGAAAAAGAGATAATATAAAAATAATGCAAAAACTTGTTTTCAATCAATTATTCAGAAGAAAGTATTCGTCGAACTGTGTTTTGTATATATACGTACGATAACGCGATATGAGAGTCAATCGATTCATGATAAATGGATTTAGAGATGATCAACAATGTACACCATTCGTCTGAAACACTTCTATACATTATATAGATATAAAATAAGATAATAAGTGAAATTCTTAATTTATTATTTAAATTATGAAATGGAAGATTGTCTGCGATTACTTATATTGAATAACAATTCAAATCACTATAAACCTTTAGAAAGGCTTTAATTTTTATCTTTGGTAGAGATTATTCTTTCAGAGTACCACATTCTTCCTGTGTAACTAGGAGATAAGTAACTTGTCGCAAGGTCCCTTACTCGTCATTACCTTCATATAACTATATTTTATTGAACAAACAAAATATTGTAAATTGTTTTAACAGTATACAACATGCTAATCTATCTATAAAAATCTTAAAAGTTCGTACGTACTAGTTTACGTTAATCCTCTTTAGTTAACCTGAGAAATTTTGAAAAAGAAAATTATTTTGAAACAACATATCCTCTACCATTGTACATCTCGTCCTTCGAATCAATTATATACGTGTCCACAATTTTGCTCTTTTAATTTTCGAAAGCAACGAAGTGATATAAATGTTCTGTTTTAGGTGACTCTCGACTCTACGTGTACGCACACGTATACGTAGAGTCGTAATATACAGGACGTTTCATAAAATGTGATAAATTTTGGAAATAAAAGATTCTTCAAAGATGAACATAATTTTTTACGCTTTTTATATTTCAATTAAAACAGCAACTTTAAAATAGCAGTAAACATAATTTCAGTACTTTGTGTTGCAATACCTTTTTAATTATTACTTCAAGTCCCGTTCTGTATACATGAACATTTACATCTATCAGTTATTCACATGACTTTATAATACTTTTATTACTAACAATTATTCTTATAAAACTTTCAAGTTCCTGAAACCGTTCCTCATAATTCCCCTTTTCAAAAATATACGCATTCTTTTAAGCCTTACTCCTATGTCATGAATCTCTTATTTCCTGAATGTAACACACATTAAAAAACACCTTGTACATATATATGATCGATATACACATATAATATAAAGAATCTTATAGCTTATAACAGATTATTAACTTAAACCTACAAAAGAACTCGAAAAAAATGCACCTTTACTGGGCCATCTTGAATCAAATATTTCATTGTGAAGTTTTTATAAAAAAGATAACTGCTTTTCAAGCATAAACAATTGTAACATTTACATAGATTTTTTACAATGTGAAAATAGTAGAAAACTTCATTCAATGAATTTCACGCGGAGTCCTTTTGCAATTAATAATGCGAATCCTTTATCGCAGTAATGTAAATCTAGATAACAAAAAATATATATTTTACAGTACCGTTACTTTACTATAGTTTTTAAATAAACTGTTATTTTCGTATAGATTACATGGTAATCTTTGCCACGAGAATTATCGAACTGGATCACTGTTCCCGTAACACCGATAAACATTTTTTGAGCAATTCCGCATGCGCCTATAAATGAAGAAAACAATATTTTATGAACCATTCATGAACGTAATAATACACGCAAAAAAGAAAAATACGCTTACTTTTGCATGTTTTATTTCTAATTCTGTTAATTCAATTAGATTCTTTCTAAAAGCAGCTACTCTTCTCGTCTTGAAATCCGTCAATTCTACAATTAAAATTACAATCAAATTAACTGTAAAAGCTTATGAAATAAAATTACAAAAAATGCAAGAGATAATATGTACCTTCTTTTCCTTTCTCTGACATCTGCTCAAATTTTTCACACGCCTCCGTTTGAGCTTTTTCTGCCTGTATTAACAAAAATAGTAACAATTTCAGTCTTCGATAAAATATATAAAATTATAAACATTTTAATATCAGCAGTTCCTGTTTCGTAAAGCATATCTTAAAAACAAATAAAACATGCAATTCCTAAAATTAAATTCGTTTAGTTTTAACAATCATTTTGTTGTTCTATTTTGTATGTCTTCTATCACAAAAATCTGTTTTAGCATGTTTTACACGCGTTACATGTAAATAATCCTTAAATCGATTGTCTACTTTAACAATCCTGAAAATGCGTCATTATAACACAAGAAAGAAATAAAAATGCATGCAACTTCTGGTCATGCATAACATTTAACATATTGATTCAATATATGTATAACCATTGATTTCTATATTTTTTTCTTTTCCAACATGTGGAAATTCACATATTTTTAATAGAATATATTTTACTAAGATTTTTATACATATGTATCTATTTTCAAGTGTACATACATTCTCAGAACTAAAAATCATATATAAGAAGTAATGTACACTACAGTAAGGCGGTAAACATACAAATAGAAAAAAAACACACCTCAGCAACCTCCACTGCCTTGATGAGCAAGAAAAATTAAATTTCTTGTTAGATCGTACGTGTGTCTAAATTAAACATTGCGTATTGCATATACATCCTCGAACATTACGAAAATTCAGAACAATTTCAATTAATATCAGTTTGCGAACATGTAATTGCCAATTTAGGAAATGTAATACTCTTATATTAGACGAACAATTGATAGTATCCAATTTCGATGGAATCCATCTATATTATGACTATCTATACTAATCTATAGTATCTCACTTTTTGTGTATCTCATACTCTCAAAAAATTCTTAAAACAGTATACTCACAGCATGAACGTCTTTGTTTTTGGCACGAGCTTTCTCAAGAGCGCGATTTGCAGATTCATATGCGTGTAAAGCTTTTAATCTTCTAAAAAGCAACCGTTTGGCTGCAGCTGTATCCCTCATGTAGTACCGAAGAGTGTCTGACAATTTTAAGTCCTCATCAGATGCTACTCTGCCTTCAACTTTCTATTACATTACAATATTAAAAATATAACTACTACGGATAAATAAAGAATACAAAAATTGAGATCAAAACATCTTACCCTCAACTTTTCAAATGTTTCTGCAATTTTCGTCAGAAATCTCTCCAGTTTACCATTATCTGTTGTTGCTAATTGTAACAGATGTGTAGAAATCTTTATATAGGAATCTGCTACATCTTTATGTTTAGCTGTTTGACGATCTGCACGAGCTGTTGCTTCTTTCAAGTTATGATGGTACGATTGCAAAAACGACATTTCCTGATCAAAAAAGTCATTCACATCTTTCACAGTTGCAGACAAATAATATTCATCTGTGGTGGTTGAAAAAGATTTTACTAAACCACCAAACATTTCCATCTTATTCTTTCCTAAAATATGAGAAACCTATATTTTCTTTTTGTCTTATGATACATATATTCACTCAATTGTAAAGTGACATATAGAAACTTTATCCAAGCACCATGATCTTTACCTCTCACACAAAGATCTTGATCATACTCTAAAAACACTCTTAAATTATGATCATTTCGAAAAACTGGGTGATTTGCTAGTCTAGTTAAAAACATTTCGTGCATGGCAACAGTTTTCTTAAATGTAGCTAAATACTCTCTGTAATAAAAGTATAACAATATAAAATGAAAGTTATTAAATTGGCTAAGCATATGTAAGGATCCCAACTAAAGTTTAATTAAAACTTACGCTTCCAATTCCTGCTTCATTTTGTTAAATTCTTCACGAGTCATGTTACCCTCACCCTCTCCGAGCTTCTGTAACTTTTCCCTAGATGCATCAAAGTCTGGCCGCGGTGGACAAGGTGGAATCTGAAAACATATATTTTCTTTGTATATTATTGACACTATAATCATGTTTTCAAGTTCACAAACTAAAAAAAATAGAAAAACATACGATATAGCCAGCATATTCTTCATTCTCTTCAAATCGATCATGTAACCATACAAATTCTTCGTGTTGCCTTACAACCAAATTATCTGGCTTCTGAAAGTCAGGCAAAGTAGTTTTCGTATGTACAGTAAATTTCACTTTATCCTTTTCACTAAGAGCATCCGAAATGTCCACTTGCAGTGACTTATCAGAGAGGTCTACATTGTCTGCATGAATTGTCTGTAAATTTAGATGATCAGAATTAGAACCATAAAATACACATGTGAAATATAAAGGAACCAATATTCGGTTAATCTTTATTAATACAAAATTATAAGAAAAATACTGAAAAAAAAAGAAACCAATGTGAGTACCTTCTTAAGGGGAACGTTACTTAAAATGTCGGCAGTATCACATATGCCGTCCTGAAACATTTTTCTCGATTAAAAAGACGCACGGAGGATATTAACAACAGCACAATAAATTCACGAGCGACGTATTAAATTCGTTCTGAAGTCGGATCGGCGGATAAGTGATAACAGGTTCCACCTACCATCATGGCGTCCAAGCGTCTTTTTGACACGTTCTGCGTTTCACGATATACGACTGTCAGAATTAATCCGATAATGATCTTGACCGAACACTCGCAAAGTTGAAGCTGCACTGGTCGCAGAAATTATTCTTCCCGCTCTTGCAATCCCACGAGGACGATCACCAGTGGAAAAGTTTCCGCTGGTAAAACACGCTTAACCGAATCATAACATGTCAGAATGCGGTAAACTCGAGAGACATATCACATATGTTGATAAATCAGCTGTAAGAATGAAACTACTGTACGCGGACTCATAGATGCTGCGTGGCTATCAACGCGCGTTATTACCGTCAAACGTAATCAGAATCTGTAATCAAGAAACGGGATAAAATTTTAGTAGATTTCAGAATACTCTCTTGACACGTGTCGAGTACATAAATACCGCTTCATTATCAGCAGACTACGAATGTTTATGGAAATTCACATTTATGTACATAGTCTGATTTATGTTAGAACATTAAGAATTATATGGAAATTTTATTATCTCACTTCACGATTTTGCTAGGTCAAGACGTGAATAATATCTGTCTTGGACTTGATTAAAGTTCATATTTTATTGTACTTTACTTAATTTACGTCATGTGTAGGTATATAAATGCATGAAATCTGCAGTCTATTAATCATCAGTACAATTTTATAGACTTGCAGTATACGCGAATGTTTAGTGATTGATAAAATTGAAAATAATTAATAATATTTATTTAATTACATTTTCATTTCACTCGTAATGTAACAGGTACTTTAATAATGAATGTAACTTGCTTTTATTTAGATATGCATTTAAAAACTGATCTAGGAAAATAGGATTTTGCCTAAAACATCAGCAATATAATTATCAAGTGTCTGTTACGAAATACAAATGCAATTTGTCTATTTCTAATAACTTCCGTATTCTAAAGATATAAATACTAATAATGAATTAGTAGAAAACTTTCCATTTCTTTTAATTTAGAAGGTTTGAGCCTATTTAAATAATATGTTTTGAAATTGAAATATTATTTTTATACAATGGAAACTAGAAATAAATTTTTGTTTTGCAAATTTCTCTCGGAATTTTTTCTATTTCAATATAATATTTTGTAAACAATAAAGCGACTAATATTAGTCGCCTGAAAGTAATCGCTTCAAGCGACTATTAGTCGAATGAAAGTAGTCGCTTCAAGCGACTAATATTAGTCGCCTGAAAGTAGTCGACGATTGAAAAAATTAGTCGGCTGAAAGTAGTCGTTGATTACTATCGACTTAGTCGATAGTTTTTAGTGATGGTGCCCATCACTAAATCACGCCGTTTTGCAGAACATGAAAACTGATCACTGATCAGTTCGCAGCGGTTGACTCACGGTTGTGTTTTCGGAACGCAGCCATTACCTACCATAAAGTTGCGAAGCTACATATGCATATTTGAGCTCTGTATTTTGAGGGTTCTCATGCGGCAGATAAGTTATTGTTAGTGTTTAGAACCCCTGGTGTGTCATAAACAACGAAGATGCTTGTGATTGTTTGTGGTCGACATGGTCGACATTCTGTTTCTGCTTGGTTCTGCTGACATGACGCGTAATAGTCTTTACCAATGATGATGATACCTTAACTTTGTTCAATGAAAAATTAAATTACGTTTAAAGTTATGGCTCAAGCGAAGCTGAACTCGCAAGACAAAACAGACAGCATTCTCAAGGATAATGAAAAGGAGACTGACGAAAAAGAAGGAACATGTTTGTATCAATCACTTTAAAAATGTGTTACGTATTACATTCGGATCAGATTTTATAGATCAACTCTTTTATTACATATAAATAATTCGATACTAAACGTCTCAATGATAGTTTACTCAAAACATTTGTTTGATTTAAACTAAAATCTATGTTGATAGTAAATATTTTGTAACAACTTTTTATATTAGACATCTAGTGCTTCTGAAATGACTAGTATATTTGTAATTACATTTATTGCTTACAATTGATTGATCTATACTATATAGATATATATTATACACTATCAAAATAATGTTTAGAAATAATGACAACATTGTTTATGTGTTCTCTCACAGGCTCAACAGTAGTACCAGAATGTGCAGTCTGCCTTCAGCCATGTATTTATCCCGCGAGATTACCTTGCAATCATGTATATTGTTACTTGTGTGTCAAAGGTGTTGCAAATCAAAGCAAAAGATGTCCTATGTGTCGTCAAGAAATTCCTCCTGATTTTCTTGACAGGCCACAATTAGTAGAAGTAGAAGAAGCACAGAAGGAATTGGATCATTCTGAAGAAGAATATCAGTGGTTTTATGAAGGCAGAAATGGTAAAGTATCAGTTCTCATAAAAATTAATGGCAGTTGTAAAATGTTGAAACTAAAAAGAAAAATAAAAAGTGTTGCAAACACACATTAGTAGGCATACAATTTTTTAAAAATAAAGTAAATCAGCTTTGTTAAGACATTAATGATAAATAGTATATAACTTCATTATTTGTTAAAAACACATGTTGAAGTGTATTTAGATAAGTTGATGTCCTACCCATTCATAGGTTGGTGGAAATATGATTCAAGGACCAGCGAGGATTTGGAAACTATATACAACCTTGGTAGAACCCAATGTGAAATTTTAATTTGCGGCATGCTTTATGTAATTGACTTTGAAAACAACTGTCAATATAGAAAGTATCAACCACGTTTAAAACGCAACATCAAGCGCGATACAAAAGATGCACCTTGTAAAGGTGTTTCAGGAATAAAATAATCCATTCACATGTTTCTTATACTTCTTTAAATACAATTGGCTTAAAACATTCCTGGTTGTACTTATGACTCATATAAAAATTGATAAAATTATGTATATTCTTATACAAAAAGATATAAAGCTTTATGTAAGATATATCCTGTCATAACATTATACAAATTTTTATTACTATGTTTAAGCTGTTTAATTAAATTAAGATTTAGCTTTAATGTATTTTTGTAATAAAACATCCTCACTGCAGAATATAAGTTATTTTTCTTCATAAATTTCCCGAGTGAAACATCATTTGCCATTGACATTTTTGCTATGTTTGCAACATTATGGGAAACATAGCTTGTATGATTTTAAATTACATTGTTTCAGGTTGGTGGCAATATGATCAACGTACAAGTTATGAATTAGAAACTGCATATAAACAAGGCAAACGAAATTGTGAATTATTAATCGCAGGATTTCTTTATATTGCTGACTTTGGTTCTATGCTTCAATTACGTAGGAATGATCCATCTAGACGAAGAAAAATTAAACGTGATTTATACAATGTTCCCAGAAAAGGAGTTGCAGGTTTAAGATTAAATAATCAGGATGAAGAAATTATTAGAGAAATAAGAGGAGCAGAGAGACCTGCAAGTCCTGCAAGCGATAATATGGGTATATTTAAGGAGTTTTAGTATAATGTACAAAAGTATCTGTATTAATTATTTCAACAATATAATTTTACATTCATAGGTACAGGAGATGGTACAAATACTCCCGTACCACCTAGTAACACACCACAAACACCAGCAGGTGGAACAGCAAGTGGTGATGCCACACCCTTAAATGATAGAATGGAACAGAGGTCAGATTCTTTGCATCAGGTATTGGAACAAATGCGTTCCTTAGTTTTGAGGGAACACTTATCTTCAAGTACAGATAATGAATTAGAAGAAGCAGCAGAAAGTGAATCACTTTCCATTCATCCTACATTATAATAACTGTAAACACCTAATAAGTCCTATTCATCGAATGAAAATCATTTTTAAATGAATTAATTTTAACAAAATCAATGTGAAGTCTCATTAAACAAAAGATGTAGTATAATAAAAATTCGTGTACATGTTTAATAATATAGAATATACTTCGTACATATGATGTATTAATGTATAAATCTGTGCAACACATTGTGATGCTTATTAAAAAGAAATCAAGTACAATGAAATATTTACTAAACAATTGTTTTAAACACTTTGATCAAGTTTTATAAATGTTCAATTAGTAAATTTGTAATGTACGTCTTCGTTATTTCCTTAAAAAGTATTTTCCAAAAAAGAAATATTCCATTCTGTTACACCTTGATGATTATGTTTGTAATTCAGATATATGTGACATTTGTAATTATCACAGATTCCATTATAAGTTTCATAATTGTAAGTGGTGTAGGGTAATTAAGATTTCTTAATCAATTACGATAATACAATTCATTTATTTAATTCAATAATAATTATCTGCCTGTAGACTCAGATATAACTAATACGCTGCCGTTCTCTACATGTTTATTGTAATGAATATATGTAAGATTAACAATTTATACACCATGGTACACAGAAAAAACAAATGTGCTCAGACATTTGTCTGTCTCTTTACAGTATTATCAGACATGAATTTAATAATCATAAGTAGTTAATGTTTCTCTACTTTGGTAGAAGCTCGGTAGTTCTATTATCATGGAAGTAGTAGGTCCACTGATTCTACCATTACTTCTCGAACTTACAGTGGAAAACAATCGTTATAATTGGAAACAATGCGTGAACGATATTTATAATCAAAAACTAATCAGTATCTACTGATGTGAAAGGTAAATTGTTTTTAAGTATCTGTTGTACAAGAAATTTTTATTCTGTGCTAATAGAAGTAAAGAAGAGATGTACCTCACATATTTTGTCTTATTTTTTAGTGTAACTGATAATCCGTTTTGTAATAAACCATACTGTGTCATATCTTAAATTTTATGTTTCCAAATAAAGATGTTACTTATAAGCATTGTAATTAAAACAATTATAGCTGCAAATATAAATGTCTTTACATTCATATGTTAATGAAAATTGCAGTTATCACTTTGAAGCTTTAACATTCATTAAGTAATTTGAGAATTATTTTTTTATTTCACTTAGCATGTAATTAAAGCAACTAACAATTAATTATATGTTTAATTGTATGTTTTATAAATAAATCCAGACACAATATGGTATATAGGTACCAACAATTTAAAGTTCTTATACAATGCATAGTTCTTCTATTACTCTTCAATAACAAAAGATTAGATAAAATTTTGTATCGGTTGTGACTTAAATAACTAATAAACGTATTATAATAATAGAAACATATTTTTACAATATTCTTAAAAATCAAGATAAAGTTAAAAATTTTTTTATATCAAGGATAATTTACTAGAGAGGAAAATCATTTCTGTTCTGTGTTATGATTGACTTAATCTTATGGTTTGATACAAACTATGCATACGTAATCTTCATTATGGACAATAATTTGCTAACAAACCTCCAACATTTCTTATTATCAATTTTTATTATATCAACATCTACTTAATATTAATTATATGATTGACACATGGTGGTTTAATTCGTACTAGGAATAATCAATACAAATGTATGTATGTAATACAATTTTTTAAATAAGAACAATATGCTATTTAGAAATATGAAATATTTTTAATAAGGTTGCTAAAAAGTTGTACCAAAATTTTAGTTTAAACTATATGCGAGTTATTCCAAAAAATAAGCACATTACACAAACGGAGAATTTATTTCATTAGACAAGATTATAACGTAGTTAATACTATGTACTTAGAAAAGATATTTCACTATCAATTGATTAATTAAATTTTGAGAAAATCGAATTTTTAATGGAATTTGGCATATATATTTTCTTTTAACATCAAATATATTGTAATAATTGTTAACAATTAAAAGTACACACATATATGGTTTTCTGAAACATTTATAATGATTCTTTCCAATTACATATATAAATTTATACATATATCAAAATTTTGTTAATTGTGATAGATTTTCATATATTTTTTAATTGGCATTTTTGATTTTTTAAAATATGTTTTATACATTTATACTATTCTCTTTGAAACTTAAACTATATACATATTTAGTATTGTATGTCGTTAATTTTAAAGATTACACAACAAAGAAATAAAAAGAATTTCTTTTTCTTTATTACCTTTCATTATTCCCTTGAAAATATTCTGTTTAAAAATACAATGATATAAAAATTGTTACTTGTGATTATTTGTCCGAAGTAGCTAACTTATATGAGAATATTCAAAGAAAGTTTTTGTATGGAATATGACACACAATCATTCAATAAAACAGACTTTTATTATTTGTCTTATATTTTTATAAAGTATATTTGAAACAGTATTGATGTCAATATAAAATGTTAAAATCGATTTATATTTCTTTTCACTAATACGAAACGGCATAAATTTGCAGTATATAATAAATTCAATTTTGCGCGCCATTCAAACATGTCAAAACTATGGTCAAAGAAACTTCCATGTGGGTGATAAAAAGCCGGTCAACCGTCAGATTCTGAAGCTATTTACGAAAGAGAAAGCCTGTAAAAAGAACAGCGGGATTCCTTAAATATTAATGAAACGAATTAGTAAAGATGCATGTAGTATCTTAAAGTAAGGTTTGTATTACTTCTAGTTGCAGCGGCGATATACATTTTTTTATACGCAATTTCATATAAAGAATTTCAGTTTATGTATATAAATACGTACGTTTTTTAATACAACTTGTAATAGTTACACGTGTATTTCGTATTATAAACAAAAAAATTGCAATTGGCGAAAATAGTTCTATTAAAATCACTATTACGAATCATGGAACCATATTAAAATGATCGCATAATTTTTGATAACAAAGCGTGAAACGGGATGTCGATACAATACGGTAAAAATAAAAGAATTCATTTAAGTATAGCAATGATTATTGGAGCAAACAAATTAGAAACAACGTGACCAAGAAAAAGTTTTTCAAGATATATAGAACAGCCAAAATAGTTTGATCTTTCGGTCGCATTACTTCATAAGTCTCGACTAAGTAGGGTGGCTGGGTGGCCCAGTTTCAATTAACGGTTAGGGTTGAATAAAAATACTTTCGCGATATCTAACAAGCTTTGGTGTTTCAGATTGTGATCAGATTGGTCTATGTAGTCAATGAAGACTGGTGCTTCATATAAGAAGATATAAAAATATAACATCATGAGTATACAACAAAGCACAGAGTTAATTATTTTTGTGACCCATGTTGAAGCGGAGGATTCATTCCTAAAAATATGGGGCCAGGTTGATAAGAATTCTGCAACATGTGTAGAACGTATGATCTTACCCTTGGTCGAACAATTCGCTCGAAGTCAGGGTTGTGTTGAATCAAGAGCTGCTAATCTACATGTTAATGCTCTTTGCTGTGCCAGATTTCAAAATGAAGGATATTACCGAGCAAAAGTAATTAATATACGTCCAGATGGTATGGTAGTTCTGCAGTTCATTGATTATGGTAACATTGAAGTATTACCGCCTCAAGAAATTCATTTGCTTGAAAATATACCTGGTTCTGAGTCTCTGCAGTCTTTTCCACCTGTAGCCTTTGATTTTACATTAATGTATGTGCTACCAGTAAATGGAATCTGGGAAAGTAAAATAATTGAGTTGATTAAGAAAACTTTATGGTACAATGAATATAAAATTTTGATTCACACTGTGATTAATAATCATCGTTTTATTAAACTTTGGTACAGTAATGAGGATTTCAGTGAATTATTAATTAAAAGACACATGGCAGTAGCAGCTACATTACAAGAAATGTTCAGGTATTTATCATAAAGTTAACAAATTTTATTTACATTTTTATTCTTATTTCTGTTATTTTTATGCATCATATTCTGTAACCCTTTGTGCTCGAAGACTTTTACGCCAGGGGGAACTAGCACTTGAGACGATTTTTCGAAAATTTGTTGAATTTCTTATAGCTAATTTAAAATGATTTCACATACAAATTAACATATAAAACTATTATATTCCATATATCTTTACATCTCAAAAAAAAATTGTTGTATGTTAAGCTCAGTATTCTTGCTTTGTATGGTATTTTACATCCTCGGCTTGTTTGGGCAAGTATCGCAGTAATTTCTTGTATCGTGTCTTCCATCAGGTTTATTTTGCTGGCAGCAAACCTTACAATCCTTCTTTGCTTTTGGTAGAATAATATGAAGTTTTACATTCAAACGGATTTCGTCAAAGTGGATGTGGAAGTAGAAACTCGATTACGACTTTGTTCGAAATCTCCTATTAATTGGTCAACCAACATTTTTATTTATATATTGTAGATGACTAAGCGACTGTTCATTCAAAAAAATTGCTTATGCCACTACTTCAGAGATTTTCTCATAAAATTGTATCTCTAGGCATACTGATCTACTCGATCAACGCCGCCCATAAATTTTATATAATTTGTGACTACATTCAATTTTTTCACACTAATCTCAACACCACCTCGTAAAATCCTTTTTACGGGAGTCATTCCCGCATTATCTCAATTCGTCAAACATGTAACAATTCGTTTATCTTTCCATGCAAGAACCAAGGTATTACTCTTACAGTCAGACTCGCTGTGACGGACTAATTTGAAATAAGAAAATATCGGCATCTGAAGGTGTATCATATTATACTTTTTAAACTAATAAATCAAATATAATCGTCACTCGAATTGTCGCATCAAACCATGACTCGTTAGAGAGTCGCCCCTCGAGTGCAAAGGGTTAAAACAATATATAGTAGATGAAAGTTTAATGATGATTGCCTTTAGAATTTATCGTTTTAATGTTTTAATAAAAACTTTGTCCAATAATTACTAAGCATTATATCTTGTGTATACATGTATGATTATTTCTATAAATAAATACTTATGTGTGTTTTCATAGGCCACCAAAATGTATGCAAGAACCTCAAATACCAATGTATCAGCAATCGGGCAAACATCTCATAAGTAATAATTGTACTTCAATGACACATGTGCCGAACATAAATCCATTACATTGTGATGAAAATAATATGCATGGATATCAACGAAATGTTCCTTTATGTTGTGCAGCGCAACAAAAACACATGATGCAGTCATCTGTTCAGGAGGCTCTTGTATTTAAATCACGAGTTTTAGATGTACCATCCAAACACGAAGTATATGTATCTTTCGTAGAAGATGGTCCACATAAATTTTCTGTGCAACTTCAAAGTACATCTCAAATATTAAGTATGCTTATGAGGGATATTAATAGTCATTCTACAGAACCATTGCAAGAACCTCCTTTACCTGGATCAGTATGCTTGGGTCGTTATACACAAGATAAAGTGTTATGCAGAGCTGTTGTAATGTCTGTAATGGAAAATAAGTGCAAACTTTACTATGTTGATTTTGGCCATACAGAGGTGTTACCGTACACAGATATTTTCCAACTACCGCCTCATTTTATTAATCCCAAAGTACTTTCTATTCGATTCACATTAAGTGGCGTAAAAGAGTTAGATGTCACAGACGAAATGAAAGAATATTTTAAACAAATTGTATCAGGAAAGTTGCTTGTTTTACATGTTTGTCCACCAGAAGGACCACCATTGGTTCAATATGGAGATTTATATGACGATGGACAGAGTATAAAGAATATTCTTAGACAAGCATTTCCAACACCAATGACACCTATTACTTTTGGATATCAAGAACCAACAAAGTTATTAAAAGGCGCTGAAGAAATTATACATGTTTCTTTTGTGGAATCTTGCAGAAAATTTTTTGTACAACTAGATAGCAACAGTGCATCTCTTGAATCAATAATGGACTGTCTAGCAGAATTCTGTAAAAATGCACCCTCCTTAAGCCTATCACAATTGAAGATTGGTCTTCCTTGTGCTGCTTTGTACGATAATCAATGGTTAGTTAAATAATTTTATTATATTTAATGGTGTACAGTAGAATTCTGTAGAATAATATAGGTGTACTAAATTATACATTTATTATTTTTATTTAATTATTAGGTACCGGGCACAAGTTCTGGGTGTAAATATGGATAATGTGAAGGTATTATATGTTGACTATGGTAATGAGGAAACTGTCACCATAATGTCTCTACGTTTAATGCATGATGATTTAATAAGACGATTGGGAGCTCAAGCTATAAAATGTATCCTAAATGGTTGGGAACACTTGCCATGCACTCAAGAAGTTTCTAATCAGTTTGAATCATTGATCTTGGAAAAACGTTTGCTTTTAAGAGTTACAGATGTAAAATCAGATGGTCTAGTTGTAGATTTATATGAACCTGAGAGAAAGCAAAGCATTAAGTCTCAAATGTTGCATACTGTTGAAGACGATACGAAATTAATAAATACACCAACCTATCAAAACATAGAAAATCAACATACTGCTAAAATAAGCCCAAAAAACAATCAAAGGTATAATCAAACGTATTTTATTATGTATACTGATTTAATTGTAGACAAATAATCCAGAAACCTTCGTTAATGTAACTTAATGTTCAACTATATAAAGATCCTATATTTGCATATGATTGAGAAAATGTACTTGAAATAGTGTTAAGTATTGCAACAAATCGTCTAAAGTTACTGCTATTGCATTTAGTTACAAGTACGAGAATCGTCCAATAAGTAATACCCGTTTTGAAATGGCAACAATACAAATGTATTTTAAAAAGTTTTCTTTATTTGTAACTTAATACATATACTTAGTTATTTCAATATAATCGCCGTCCTTATTTAAACAATCGTAACGTGAGACGAGTTTTTGTATACCTTCGTCATATAGTTCCGCCGTGAGTTTACATACCATTGTTGCACGATGTCCAATTGCTCGAAACCAAATCTTGAATGTAGGCCGGATGTTTCAGTACCCCCTATTTAAAGTGTTCAAGAACATTTTTGATTTTCAGAGCCACATGTGAACTCGCGGCGGAAGTGTATGACGAAGGTATACAGAAATTTGTCCCAGTTATGATTATATTGAAAAGTAACCAAATATAATAATATACAGGGTGAGGCACTTAAAACAGGCCACCTGAATATCTTAACTAGTGATAGGAAAAAATGTGTCTGACCAAACTTGCAGAGTATCGAGGAGCACATAATTTGATGTGTGGATGCGTCGAGGTCATATGAAGGTCAACTTAATTTTTTAAAACGGAGAAATATGGTTTTTACGTACTATCTAGTAGAGCGTTTTAAAACGCGTACAATGACCTATTTATGAATGGTGCATAAACAAAAACATGTCTTTCCATTTAAAAAAACGAAGTTGCCCTTCATATGACCTCTACGCGTTCACCTATCATAGAAACATTCACGTCAAATAATGTGCTCCTTGATACCATGCAAGTTTGGTCTGACACATTCTTTTCTATCACCAATAACAGCAGAAGCATTCAAGTGGCCTTTTTTTAGGTGTTTCACCCTGTATATTAAAGTTACAACTAATGAAAATTTTTTAAAGTACATGTGTATTGTTTTTATTTCAATATGGGTATTACTTTCTGGACAATCCCCGTATCTTTGAAAGATATAAAACTTCAGAATATTAGATAAAACATCGATATGTTTATATTTATTATCTTTGTATACAGGGTGCAGCCGAAAGGGTGGTATAAGCAGGCAGTAGGTGATTCTTTATGCAACAATAAATTAAACGTGTAGAATAATATTTTTCATCCGACGCTTAATTTTCCAGAAGGTTGAATTTGAAATAAATAGAAATGGAATGCAATGAACAAACGGCCTAGCAAAGTCCTATCCAATTGCACGCGAATCCAGCATATTATCAAATTCGATTATCTCAGAAACAAAGCATCACACAAAAAGTTTTATTCTGCATTTTCGACTTATTTTTGCGTGTAAAATAATTTTCTACCCGCCTGTACTATTCTTTCAGCCGCATTACTTCTGTAACATTAAAATATTTTTAACGTATGTTTATCTGAATTTTAGTGAGAATATGAACACGTGGCAGGAAAAAGATCAAATTGATTCATGGAATGAGCCACGGAATACAAACACAGTTCAAGAAAGGTATAAATCCAAATCTTGGAAAGATGAATCCAACGAAGAAAAAATATCTGAAAATAGAAGTGAAAGAAGTAATTTTCATCGGAACGATTCTCGAAATGAAAGATTCAGTAGAGACGATTTTTCAAATACTAGAAGTGCGAAGGATAAATGGAATAATAAGAATGAGTATAATGATTCACTTAGAAGTGAAAGAGGAAGAGGTGGCAGAGGTGGCAGAAACAAAACTTCCGGATATGGTTCAAAGAATAACTCTTCTGATCAAAATTGGAGTGATAAAGGTTCAGATACATCATCTAAAGGCAGTACCAGCAGACGTGGGAGAGGCAGCGCATCGCGTGGTGGTCATTCTAAAGGTGATGGATTTTCTGGAAAAATGCAAAGTAGTAGATTCAGCGATAGAGACAGTGATGGAAGTGTCAAAGGTGGAAAGACAAACAGTAAGTATTTGTATATTACTAGAATAGAATGAATATTAAATTAAAAAAAAATTTCATTTATGTATAAAATTATAATAATAATGCATTTAAAAAATTCACAAATTGTTAACAGGTGACTCTTATTATGGGAATAATAAATTCAGAGACAGAAAAGGACAAGGGTACAGATTAACTCAAAACAAGGTAAAATATGCTTCTAATAATAACCATATGTTTATATCACTTGAATAGGATATAATTTTTATAATATATTGGAATAAAAATGATTAAACCGTAGATTTTCATTTAATACTGTCAATAGTTAATGAGAAATCAAATAACATATATAGAGTAGAACAATTTTTATCGTTTTTAGATATTCGTTTTCAAATATTCCTGAATATAATATTTATAATTGTTTTAGATAAACTCTGTAAATTCGAGTAATTTCGAAGAAGGACGAAGATACAGTCCTATGCGAAGTAGACATGAATTCCATATTCCGTCTCCTGATATAGTTATTGGATCTACAAAGGCTTGTGAAGTAGTTTATACAAATAGTCCATCTGACTTTTTTGTGCAGCTAAGTCCTGATTACACTGCATTAGATTCTATAATGGAAAGCATTGCATCGATATATGAAAATGGTGGAGAATTAGTAAAAGAGTCTAAGATATTTAAAGGTTTATACTGTATTGCTCAGTATTCAGAAGATTTGAGATGGTACAGAGCTATAGTGAAATCTGTTGAAGGAAACAATGCAACCGTTCAATTCTTGGATTACGGAAATACAGAGACTATCGATTTTAGTAACATAAAAGTCATTCGAAAGGAGTTCTTAAAACTTCCAGTACAAGCTGTACACTGTAAACTCTTTGGTATGAAAAACGTTACCTTAGATACGAATGAAACAAAGACTTTTGGAGATAAAGTAAATGGAAAAACATTCAAAGCCGAATTCATTACCGAAGAAAATGGTATCTATAGTGTGTTGTTACGAGAAATTGTTGACGATTGCCCAACAAATACTTTCATAAATGAAGAATTTTGTGATGGCCTCGATTTATTGCAAGCGAAGGAAGCTGCAATGTCTCAAAATCAAATCAGTACAAATACCAAACAACTAAAAGAACTTGATTATGCGTCTTTGGATGCTGTATGGTCAATAGCTACGCACACACCAGGAACTAAAAAGGATGTGATTGTTACATGGTTTACAAATCCTAATAATTTTTACTGTCAAGCCCTTGATAATGAAAATGAATTTAAGACTATGATGAATAAAATTCAAAGAACATATACTGGCAGAGAACCTGTATCATATGGATTAAAAGTATTTTTTATCAATTATACTTTTCATTCGATAGCTCATGAAATGTGATCAAGCGAATTTTCTATCATTATTACTTTTAGGTCGGGTCACCTGTGATAGCATCTTTTTTTGAGGACAAAGCGCTCTATCGTGCAGAAATTATAGAATTAAATAAATTAAGTGGTCACCTCATCCATTATGTGGATTTTGGAAATAGCGCTGTAGTGGATCCTAGTAATATTTATCCTGTAGAAAAGGAGTTTATTCGTCTGCCGAAACAAGCTTTTCAGTGTTCACTGCTGAATATTAGCCCAAAAGATGGTCTTAGTTGGTCTAAAGTAGATACTGGAGCAATCGATAATTGTTTCAATGCTGATAAATATGAATGCACGTTCCATGACATAAAAGATAATAAATATTTAATTTTGTTAAGTAATAATGGAAGCTATGTAGCTGATGTATTGATTGAACGAAATCTTGCATCATGTGACTCAGCAACTAAATCAGACATTACAGAAGGTAAAAATGATTCCGTAACTGTTTTGTAGTTTCTATATTTCAATAATCTTTTACAAGATTGATGCCGAATAATTAATGATTTGGAAATGTTTTCATTTTTTATGCAATGACAAATTTGTTCCATTTTTCATGTTATACAATGCTACTAATCTCACGTATGTCATCCGTGTAACATTGTATTTACTATACAGGTTCTCAAAAATTAAATAGAAGAATGTGATTCAATTTGTATTAATAATCAGACTGTATATAATGCGCTTTACTATTTTCCTTACAGACAGTAATACCACGGCAACAGAAACCCCATATAACGTTGAAAGAGTGGATATAAATCTTTTAAGTGGTCAGAAACTTCGAGTAAAAGTATCAAGTGTAGAAACAGTGTCCAAATTTTATGTTCAACTTCCTTCAGCAACTGAATGTGACAATATGGTGAATACATATATGGCTGACAAAGATCCTAAGGTATGCTTTACACTTACATGTCTACAACTATTCATGAATATTTAATTATGTTATTGTACAAGTATATATATATGTGTACGTATTATTGTATTTAATTTGTAAGCATGTTTAGAAAGCATTGTGTACTTGATGCATGATAATCATTGGTTCTCAAAAATTATTAATTAAAACGTCCAATTTATAATGCAGTGTATAATTGTAGACAATAATGTTTAAATTTTAAATGTATATTTAAATTATCAGCTGCTTTTGCTTACTTTAAAAAAGTAAATAATTATTGGATATTAGAGAAAGTATATTGTTAGTTTTGAATAGTACTCAAATTGACCACAAATATTAGTCACAATACAAAATATATACCGACTCAGGGTTGTACAGATAATGATTTTTCTGATACACGTTTGATGATACTATTTCTTATTAGTAATAATATTATTTTATTTAATATAATAATTGATTTATTACAATATTATTGATTTATTATATTAGTACTAGGAATAAACTGTTTCAAGTTACTAATACAATTCTTAGTAACACATCTTATTAAAAATGTACTTCATCAACTAATTACTTGATGTACATTGCCCAAATATTTTTCAGTTTAAAATAACTCGTACATAATTATATCAGAGTGCATGGAATTTTAATTATTGGTAAAAGTATTTTAAATTATTGCCTTACTAATCCTCATTATTCTAATAATAGAAAGTACCTTACTCTTCATTGCACGATCTATGGTATTAATAACAATCAGTGAAATATAATATTCTCCCTGTGCTGTCTTTTCTGCTACCAAATTATATCAAATGTACACAGTAATTATATTTCTGTCACTTAGCATTTCACCTTCATAATTTGTAAATTTAATGCATCTAACAGTACAAAAAGATAAGCTTTAATATAAATTTATCTCTTGTATAGCATGCTGTATTACTTTTTATTGTCCAAATGTATGTATTTAGTACTTTATACCCAAATATTAAGGAACATTAAGTAAGTTTAAATGGAGCGTCTTTTTATTGATATTTATTTTCTAATTGTATACTTAATTTAATATTCGAGTTTATCGTTATCCGATTTGTTAATATTGCATGCTATTTATACTATTATAACATATCAGAACATATAATGTATATTATCTAAATGTATGTTAGAAGCAAGTTAAAATTTTAAGATACCTAATTTCAATCCATATAGTGATAGTAATGTTCAAGAAAGGTATTCGGAATATGTATTGATTTCAAAACATCAGTTAACATCTACACTGTACAAATGTTATCTTTTTCTACAAATTTTAAAATTAATTTTTGTATTATAATGAAGCCGGTAGTAAAAGTAAACTATCATGACTTTTTCACGATTAAAAATCATTGTACATGGTTATATAAAAAAATTTAAATGAATAATATTGGTAAGGATAAGTATGGCAATGGCAGGTGATGCAACGATTGTCAGCCCATGAGATATGCCTAGGCACAGGTTGTTTGGTTTATTCAAATGGAGTTTGGAGACGAGCAGTAATCGGTAACCATTCACGATCCACAGGCTTCGATGTAAAATTCATTGATACCGGAGCGTATGATGAAATTCTCTCAGATTGCGTGAGTTTTTCGAAAGAAAAAGATTAATCTACATGCTACAATCACCTTACTTATTCATAATTTAACATTGCTGCTAGGCATAGGAGTTATTTAATACCATACTTGCTGCATTGAAAAATGTTAACGCAATGATCCAATATAAATTTTACAGAATTCTAAATGTGTATAGTAGAAATAAATATTACACGAATCTCGTTAAGGCTAATAATACTTGAAGTATAAAACTAGGAACTAATATTGTACTGCTTCAACTACTGTAGTCATTAAGCGCGAAAATGCTTCTTTAAATATTTTTAAGTAGTAAGGCAATGATCACTGTTGTAATAAGAATACTTTAACCCTTTGTACTCCTCAACTCTTTTATTCTGAGTGACTAGTGATTGTCAGATTGACTTGGAAATGAATATAAGTTGTGCTTTCTAAGGAAAGATTTTTAAACGATTATAATTATAATGTTGTACGTTAAAGTTAGTTTGTATTGTTTCAATAATACACAGATTTTACTGTGGTGTATGTAGTGCCAGTGGAGTGTGAAGGGTTAATATTTTCTTTTATGTTACTTTTGTTATAATATATTTATACAGCAAGTACTTATGTGATACTATGTTAAATCAGGTGTTAGCATTACCAGGACAGCTCGCAATTATGCAGAATCAGGCAGTAGAGTGTTCTCTGATAAACGCTATATCTTCGTCCGAAGTAGATGTAAAATTGAAGAATTGCGTTGAAGGAAAGGAAGTAATTATGTATGTTGATGAGGTCGACAATAATAGGTTAGTAATAATTGCATGTTAATGTTATATATAATATTTAAAAAATTACATATTAACATACAATGTAAAGCAAATTTTCTTTTCATTTTTGAATATTTTACTTACATTTTGTTTTCCATATATCATGTTCTATATTTTTTACAGGCTCATCGTAAAGTTGTTTGATTTGTCGGGTAACAAAATTAACATTTTTGAAGAAACTGATGAGAAAATATCGCCAATATGTCCGATGCCTGTCCTAAGTTCTACTCATAAGGCATTAGTATCGTATGCAGATCATTCTGCCAGCATATGGTTACAGCGTAACGCAGACTATATTCTGGATAAAAACTTAAGTGAAACACTTAATCAGTATTATTCAGCTTCTGGAAAAATAATCGAACCTGAAGTAGATCTGTTGTGTGCTGCAAAAAGTGCCGATGGTAACTGGTATCGAGCGAAAGTCCTAAACTACACAGAAACGGAAGTTTGTGTACATTTCATTGATTACGGCAATAATGAGGAAGTTACTCGTGACGTAGTAATGGCTTTAGATCTGCGTTTTTATGTGCCACATCAGTTAGCCATCAACGTGTCGTTACCAATAACTCTTACATGTACGATATCTGAACAATTAAACATATTGCAAGATTGTTTGTCAAACAAGGAGCTTACAGCAGTTTTCCGCAATGTAAACAAAAAGTGGATAGTCGAATTGTTACACGACGGCGAGAAAATTAGTGAGAAATTACATGCTCTTAATTTAGCGTCAGAACAAGAAGTGTCTGCAACGAAACAACCTGATATTCATAATATGGAAGTTGGTTGCATATACGATGTATACATACCGCATATAGATTCTCCTAGTCAGTTCTGGCTTCAGTACGTATCAGATGCTACAAATCTTTCCAAGAAGCAAGAAGAGCTCCAGATACAAATTTCCACATTCCCGCAAGTCGATGGAGTACTAGAAGAAGGAAGTTTATGCGTTGCTGTACACACCATAGATAATTTATGGTACAGAGCACAGGTACTTGATGCAGACGAGGACATTACGACTGTACGTTTTATTGACTACGGAAATACCGATATCATTGATAACAAGTCTGAAAACATTCGAGGAATTACGGATTCATGGAAAGAAATTAAGGAGTTCGCAATTAAATGTAGATTAGACGTGATTCCTGTAGATTCAGAAGATTGGAATGCTACAACATGTGAAACATTTGAAAATTTAATAACATCTGTTGAGTTCTTACAGGCAAAGGTAATTGCCAATAGTATTCCAAAACGAGTAGACCTATTGATAGATGGTACAAGTGTCACCGAAATGTTAGTCAAACAGAATCTTGGTATTCACACCGAAGAAGATTTAATAAACGAAATAGTTGATCTTGAATTGGATCCTCGTTCTGCTTTTGTAAGTCATATTAACTCTCCAAACGAGTTCTGGGTACAAGAAGAAAAGTCTGTTGGTGATCTAGAAGTTATGACTGATAGATTTATCGTAGCAGACATGTTCCCTAAAGTTGATGAAATTACAGAAAATATGTTATGTGTTGCTAAGTATCCTGAAGATGACTGCTGGTACAGGGCACGCGTGATATCACACAGTGATAATGCTACCCGAGTAATATATATTGATTATGGAAATTCAGCTACCTCAACTGAAATACGTGCTATACCTGCAGATCTAACAAATGTGCCACCATTATCAAGGAAGTGTCGTTTAGTTATGCCGGAAGGGATTACGGAATGGTCAGAAACCGCTTGTGAAGAATTTGTAAGATTGGCTGCTGATGGAGCAACAATATTTTTATTAGACGTATTAACGGATGACGATACATCATTGGTGAAATTAACATTGAACGATGAAAATGTAACAGACATGCTTGCTAAGTTTTGTCAATATCATCCTCCGATCACCGAGGAACGTTTACCACCTTTAGGCGAGGAAAATTCACCGAATGTATTTATTACTCGTGTCAGTTCACTCGATGAGTTCTATATTCAAGCTGAAAGTAGCACTACAGATTCGAATATGATGTTGGAAAGATTACAAGCAGCACCTAGTTTTCTCCCATTGAACACTTTTGAAGTTGGCACTATCTGTGCTGCGAAATTTCTTGATGATGGTAACTGGTATAGAGCTAAAATTCTTTCACATTCTGGAGACTCTATCACAGTTCAGTATATTGATTACGGTAATACGGCAGTTACAAACGAGGCACGACTGCTACCAGTAGATATTATAAACATACCTGCTTTATCCAAATGCTGTGCTCTACAAAAACCGAAGACTGTTAGTTCTTGGCCTCCAGAAGCTCATAAAACACTTGAAGAACTTTCTGGAGAAGGAGAAACAATGTTCCAGTTCGAAATTCTTGATGATTCTTCTGAACCAATTTGTGTTAAGTTGAGTCTTAATGGAAATAATGTTATTGATATGTTAGTTCCATTGCCTGAAAATTCATCTTCCAATACATGTATAACAGAAACAGAAGTTGATTCCTGCGAAAACGTAAGCGTAGGTGAAAAAGTACAAAGCAATGAAGAAAATGAAACTATAAGCGAAAGTATAATGGACAAAACTAAGTACGATAATGAACAAGCTATAAATAATGCTATTGCAAAATCAGCAGAAACTTTATATATTCATAAAGAAAAAATGGAAGATACGAATATACAGGATACAGAAAATTCAAATCCTAATTCTGTTGCAAAATCGGAAGAAACTTCATGTACACACGAAGAAAAAATTGAAGATACGAATACGCAGAACATGGATGATTTACACTCTAATTCTATTGAACAACCAGAAGAAACTTTGTGTACACGTGAAGAAAAAATTGAAGATACGAATATACAGGACACAGATAATTCTAATTTTATTAAACAATCAGAAGAAACTTTATGTACACGTGAAGACAAAATTGAAGATACGAATACACAGGACAAGGAGAATTTAAATTCTAATTTTATTGAACAATCAGAAGAAACTGTATGTACTACACATAAAGAAAAAATGGAAGATACGAATACACAGGACACAGTTAAGTTACATTCTAATTCTACTGAACAATCAGAAGAAACTTTATCTACTACACATGAAGAAAAAATGGAAGATACGAATACACAGGACACAGTTAAGTTACATTCTAATTCTACTGAACAATCAGAAGAAACTTTATCTACTACACATGAAGACATAATTGAAGATATGAGTACACAAGACACAGACAATGTACATTCTAATTCTATTGAAAAATCAAAAGAAACTTTATGTACTACACATGAAGAAAAAATGGAAGATACGAATACGCAAGAGGCAGATAACGTACGTTCTAAGTCTATTGTAGAACTTACTGTAGATGAAATAATTCAGAACATGGAAAGAAATACTACAGATAAACCCAATGGAGAAGCAGATACTATTAATATCAGTAGTACAGAGTCTCTTAAGGATAATGATATTAAAGAAATAACAAAGAATGTAGAGAATTTGGAAGCTGAAAACAATTCAGAGTCATGTAAAAGTGATTATGAAATACAAGAAATAAATGACGATGCAGACCATTTGCATGCAAAGCAAGGTTGTTCTGAAGAAGAAATTGATGAACAGAATAAAAAAATTGTAAATGACGAAAAACGGGTATCATTAAATATACAAGCTTCTAATTCAGTGGAAGCAAAAAATGACGTTAACGATTTTCAAGAAAGGGAAGATAATATCATAAACTTAGAAACCAAATATTATAATGACGATACAAATAATACTTCATCAAATCTTTTGGAGGAAATGAGTCTCGTCAAAGACATTAATGAAAAAATAAGAGATCATACTGAAGAGTACAATATAGAAGGAAGCGATAAAGTAAATATTACTGTAACAGATGGCAAAACAGTTGATTCAAAGGTAAAGAGTTTGGGTGAGGAAGAATCTGCAGATTCAAAATCTGTGCGAAATACAGACACTGACTGTAAGGTTATCGATAAACTAGATGCAGGTACATCGCGTGAAACAGCAGTTTCTGTAATCGTTAACCCTGTCCATGAAGTCAAGGACATTTTGCAATCTGAAAATACTTCTGAAACTGTTGAATAATTATCTACAAAGACTGACTTTGTATTTGAACATAGATGTAAACAGCGTCAAGCTTTCATCTTCAACACGTTTGTCGTTTAATTTTTCAGACAGAGTTATGTTTAATTTAAACATCTAAATATCTTGCTTGAAAAGATTAAAAACCGTACTAGAAATGCACGGAAAATAAAATTACCGTGCTTCTTTTAAAAAGAATTTTCATTGGAGGACAACATTCCCAAATGTATACTGCAGCTTTAAATGTAACGGAAACATACTGAAGTATAAAACATTATTTTTATTTTTGTTATTTCTTATGTTTTTATTATATTAAGAACGTTAGTGTATATTATTTAATCGTGTACTATACTAAAACAAGCTTTTCATTTTATATTATCATCTGTTTATACAAACAGTAATAAGTATTTTCCGGTGATTTACCAAAGAATAATAAAGAATATATTTCAGGTATGATAGTTTAAAACAAGTTTCCCACTTTCATGATTCAGATTTGTCTATATCTTCATTAATAATTTTGATACAGAATATTAAACAGTTAAAATTGTGCGCCATTGAACACCCCAATTGCTATTCGAATTCGGAACAAAAATTTGATATAATTATATGAGTATTGTTTATGTTTAATTTCATTGCAAAGTTTCCGCATATTTCAGTACTGACACCAGCAACATTGATAAATATAACGATGTAATTAGAAATTACGTATTGTTGTATCCACATAATTTACATAACTTAAAAATTATTCAAACACTTTTCACTACTTTAAAATCTGGACTAAATATATAAAATAAATTACTTTTCTGCTATATTTAATGCACTGTACTAAATTTTAGTACAGTATCGTGTTTAATAATATTAAGTTTTGTGTAATATGTCCTGAATATTATTCGTCTATAAAAGATATAAACATCAAACAAGACTAAACGATGACAATATTATCATAGAATTATATCAAATTTATAGTGAGAAGTAACAGAAAGTGTTCACTTTCTTTCTGTACATATATAATTAAATGATTTATGTGGCCATTTACAGTATACATGCGTAAAAATGTCAAGAAGATATTTTTGTATTAGAGCGAAAATACCATGCTTTTACGGTTCTATACCTGCAAATATATAACAATATTACATTATTCATTTAACATCATCGACGGTGGCACGAATTAAACGGATTACAAAAGTTCGATGTAATACTCGTACTCGATGTAATTTGCATTAGATGAAGTATAGTATGCTATTATATGTTTATACCTTGTTACAGAAAGTAACAAAATTTAATTACACTTAATGATGCATGCATATGCGTGCCAATACAGCCAATAAGAAACAGGTTTTCTCTTTATTTAAACACTGCTTAATAATAACATTAACATACCTTTAACGGTGATATCGTTCATACATTTTAGTCGATATACACGTAGTATTTTATTAAATGATGATATATCTTTTTCAAAAATCATTAATGCGCTGAAGTATCACTAGTTATAAATCTATGTTCCCATTATGAATTTCATACGCATAATTTGCACATCAACGAAGGTGCGTTTATGTTTAAGAAAAAATTTATTTTTTAAAGCTTGATAAAAAATGTTTTCTAGAAAATCAGTATATTGTAAAAATTGTGTTATAACAGTTTAAGTTCGTATAATGGGAATTAACGACGTTCCAATAAAAAAATCGGGATTAACACAAGCTGACGAAAGATGTGATTTACAATTTTTTTTAGCCTCGAATTAATGTTTCCATTTTTTATAGTTATGGGAATTTAATTTACGCTTTCCTAAGAGTTAGTTTATTAATGCTATCATCCAAACTCGCAAAAGATTTCAACGAACTAATATAAACATTAACAATACTTAACAACATCAATACTGTAAATATATTGCTTTATATAACAATGAGATTATGAACTGTTGCGTTGTAAACAACTATACGATCACTAATTTCGCATATACATCATTTTGTGTGTGTGGGTATATTCTCATATTCATTATAACTACTAATTATACATGTAGCTTGTTAGATCATTAGAATGTAAGTCTCAAATAATTTTCGTTTAGTGTATTCACAGTATTGCGTTCACTAATACATATGGGATTCTGTAAACATTTCTATTATAATAAAGTATATTTTCTAATACGAGTTTGCAAACATCTATCACCTTTTTAAGTATTACTATTATAATTATAAATAATGATAATAGTAACAAGCACAATATTAATATACGAAGAAAGTTTTTTTATTTAAACACTATTCTTTATTCTACAAATTGTTTTCCTAAAGTTTATTCGTTTCGGTAGCTTCCGGGTATACTTTCATTCGGTTTGAGATGCACCCTCGATAGTTAACTTTTCAGTCCTTTTCTTTCCTTTTTTTTTTCTTTCTATGTAACAAAAATTTATACTTTATAATTTTTTGTATTCAAATAATACAGTCATGCCTCGGAAAATACTTGCGTCTCAGGCATAATTATGTAGAAGTATTTTGTGAAGCTTGAATACCTGTTAGATTAACAGGCAATACTGCTTCTTGTCTTTAGCAATCAGTTAGTTGTTAAGAATATTTGAATTCGAAGCTAAATGTCAACCACGAGTATTTTCAGAGACATTGCTGTATATTCTATCATGTACCCTTTTTTTTAGCAGTTTTAATATTCTGTTCCATTTTTTCATTATATTGTTGCTGTCGTTGTGTCATCATTGTGTTACGAGCAACAGCTACCTCATCCTCTAAATACCATTTAAGAGGTCCCCTGCAACGTCTGCAGATCATTGGTTTACCCAAATGATCTTCGATTCTGCCGCCTTGATCGTTAGGATTCCATCCCATTCGTGGATCATCTCGATATCCTCTTCGCTGACCACTTCGGAACACATCATCGTACCCACCTCGTTGTCGACCACGCTGTCGACCTTTCAATCCAAACCGATAAGAGCTCTTTTGGTTGCCGCGTTGAGAAGATGGTAAAACATTGCTGTTAATTTCTTGAAGACGTATTTTAATGTCAGGTCCTTCTCCAGTTACGTTGTTTCGAGAGAAAACTGAACCCAGTTGTGGCTTTGTATCTAATCTCGGATCGTAGTCCTTTATGTCACAACAAAACCCATAAGGTTTTGCGCCACGATCAGGCTGCGAGGTACCAATGTGATGTTTATTCCTCATGTGTATTATTATACTTTGGTTCGATCCTTCGATGTTTTTATATTTTAAATTTTGATTAAAAAGAGTGATTTCTATGCATTTTTGTATGCCAAAAGTGGTCGAAAGGCTAACATGAGAAACAGTTTAAAAGGACTGTCTGGAAAAGTCATTGTTTATACGTTACGAGTTACAACTGGAAATTTTGTTACCCATTGAAATGAATGTAATTTAAACATTATTACATTTTATTCGATATCGTCATACTTGTAAAATATGAACGAAATTTAGTGCAACTCCAGAAAAAAAGATAAGTGTTTCAAACAGTGGCATGACTTGAAATCACTTGAAATCAATGCTAGCAAGACAGGAATCAATATATCTATAATTGAGTAGTATATTTTTTGTCAAATACAATTGAATTATTACGTTTATATATTTTTACATATTTTATTGTAAAGTATATGTATACAATAAAATCAACTAAATATAATTACGAAATAGCAACCAGATATAAAATGAATGAATAATCTTTTATGTAGACAAGTACAATTTTCCCGCTGTAATGATATAGGTAATGTCTGTTGATTTTGATTGACTGAATAATGTAAACATGTTTATATAGTAAGTGGTACGCATCGTACGCAGTCGTACGTGCACGTACGTGTATATAAATAGGTAACTTTCATACCGCAAACTTGCGATGCAATTTCAGAAAATACGTGTGTCTGAAGATTATCAAATGATCAACGACGTAATTTTGAAACATTGCTTGTGAAATTATGAATTCTTCCACTTTGTCGTCTGCAACTTTGGGCCACTCACCTGGGCAGAGAACGTCAGAATCACAAGATTCCGAATTAACCTCCAACGGAAATCAAACATCAAAGATCTTGAATCAAGTGAAATCTGAATTACAAGAACAGAAGCAACAGAAACGTCTACTTCGGGAGTTACACTTAAAACGCGTTCAATCGTTGAGAAAAGAATTGGATTACATTAAAGCAACAGAGTGGAGATATCAGCCAATTGATCGGTGTATATCAACTATCAACATCTAAGTGTTAAAATTTTTTATTGCGCTAGTGCGAATATTAATTGAAATAATGTTTGCAGGTACATGGATAGAAATAATAAAAACTGAATATGCTGTCATTAATACATACCTTTGTAAAATATGCTATTAAATATAAGTCATCTGCTAAGAATGATGCGGATGAAATTAACAATGTTGTTTCTCGTATAGAAAATGTGTATGAGAAAGAAATAGAAGAAAATGAATACTCTAACGAGGATAATTGTTACCATAAGACTGGCAAAATTACTTACACTGCAACTGATTATGTCATGATTGACAACTTTTACGTATGTGACACAGTAAATATCTGTACTGAAAACAGTTTAAAAGTAGGCGATAAAGTCGATTATTTAGCCTTGAATGAAGGTCATAAGAATGAACATAAAGTAAAAAAAATTACTTCTGTGATAGACGAATCATGGGATAATATTGTTCTAGAATCTCAAACAAAATTGACTGAGACACAGACATTAAGTAAATGCATAATTGGCAAAGTAGTAGAACGTAAAAATCGTTTGTTGGTCATCGAACCTAATGATATTTCTGTGGATTTGAATAAAGTGCAGTCAGAATTTATTCCTGTGATCGGAGATTGGTTACAGATAGAGTCAGAAGTTAAAATTGATAGCAACAGTCATGATTTGAGTGGAGAAATCCTAGAGATCAGAAAAATACTACCTCTGCGATCTAAGCTGGATATTGGAACTGTATCTAGTTATGATCCAGTTAAAGAAATTGGTTCTATTGGGAAAGATATTGTATTTAATAAAAGAATTTGTGATTCCGGTTATGTTCCTTGTATTGGTGACAAAGTAATTTATGATAGTATTGAAAGTGATCAAGGATTTTATACATGGAGGTCATTGACTGTGGTTCCAATAAATCAGGCAAGTGTAAATCCAAAAATAGAGATTATTATTTTTAAATCAAAATTAATAATATTCATTCGGAATGAAATATTTTTTAAAGAGCTTCACTGGCATGGAAAATAAAAAAAAGAATATAAACTACATTAAAATCTTTCTTTAACATATTAATCTATATTTTTATTTTTGGTAGTTTTTATGTAAAACTAGGTTGAAAATATGATAGTTCTTTTGACCCGTCATATCTATGAAATCCTTTAAAAAACATCATACTATTTCCTAAACAATTTAATTTCATTAACATTATGTTTTTCATACTTCTTCCAAAATTTATCTACACTTTAGAATAATAAAAAGTTTACAATAATATTTTCTACTAAAGTCATAGTGAGTATGTAATGACCATAGGAATTTTTGCCTAGACCTACAATCGTTCCAACATACCTTTTTTTCTAGCTTTACTCAAAAGGTGAAACCTTGTCAAATAAATTTTTAGGTATGAATTTATGTAAAAATTTTAAGAGTAATTCTGTTAAGAATCACCTCCAAAATTGAACATTTTTACAGAATATTAAAAATTCTAATACTCTTTACACAATATTAAAAATATTTTATGCAAACTGTCAAGGTTTTATTTTATTAAATTTTTAATATACGTTTATTTAAATCGCATATGTAAAAGTCTCTATACAATAAAATTATTCTATCATCCTTTTTTTTTTGATAATTTATGTTAGCAATAATTTTCTTATGAATATATTTGTGTAAATTAACTTTTTTCTCAAATGAGAAAATATTTTTCTTTTCTTTTTTAGGTGTCAGGGAAAAATACCCTACGAACATTATGGAAGACACCATCAACACAACAGAATCTAGATAAACTTGTGAAAAATAAAGGTGGCGTAATAATTACTGATAATTTAAATGTTATTTTAAATGTATCAGAAGAAACGAATGTAAGTCTTACAATACAAAATGTAGACGATATTCCTCATGTATTACATAGAGGTTGTTTTATGGTAAAGAAAGCTCAGTCTCAATTAGAGCTAGTACAACCATGTGTTGCTGATACAACTTCAGTATTAAATCCTTCTGATACTTTAACTTATATATTTAAATGCAAAGCGAAATTTATTGGTACAAGTGAAGAATTATTTATCTTTAAGTTTAAAGGTTTTGAAATTGGAAGAATCTTTTATATAACAGTTAAACCTAAAGGTACCCAAAATAAAATACGTTGTACAAGTAATACTAATAACAAAACTAGTGGATCTAATATCCCAGATTTGGACAAATGGGATCAATCCACATATATTCCAGGCATTCGACCATGTAAACCACCACAATTCATCAAAGTACGTAATGTAATGTTCAAAGTACCCAGGCATTATTGGGTTATAATACAGCAATGCTTAAATGAAAGAAAATCACAAACTGAATGTGAACATGCTGTAGGAAATGCTATACCTTCTTTATTGAATAGGCTCACTTTTCAATCGTATAAAGATCGTTTTCACGCTTTACTATATTTAGAAGAAATTGCCCAAACAATAAATATACAACAGTACGACATTGCAAGTACAATTATGAGACCTTATGGAGAATATTTGGTGATGCAAGTGCCAGGCCTTGCTGAAAAGCGGCCATCTCTTCTTATTGGTGACAGAGCTGTAGTATCTTTCAAGTGGGATAGTTCTCAAGGTATGTTAATCCTTTGTGGTAATTTTTTTGTATGAAATGTTATATCCATGAATTGTTTCATACCTTTTCTTTAAATAATGAAATCACTTTCCGTACTTTTCATGATTTTCAATCCCCTAGCCAAAAACCTAATGCATTCGCCTTTAAAAACTTATATGTATTGTACTGAAAAAATTCATTTTTATGTCATTGTGAATGTATGAGATTAAAATTGCTTTTTATTTAAATTAGGAAAACTGAAGTATGAAGGATTCATTCACAAAGTCACAAGTTCAGAGATTTTCTTGAAATTCAATCAGAAATTTCATGAGGAATATAATAGTGAAGATTGTCAAGTAACGTTCAAATGTTCACAATCTGTTTTACAACGTTGTCATAATGCTATTAATATGGCTACAAACCGTTTGGGTTCTGATTTTTTATTTCCTACACATGTAATTGAAAAAGATTCTCAATTAAATCTTGAAGAAATCGAATTATTAAACGAGACAACTTCAAAACAAATGACTCATCAACGGACTGATTCTGTATCATCAGAATCTTCTTGTACTAGTACTAATACATCGATAAGCAATAAATCTAGTAATACGTCAAAGTCGTCTAAAAGAGTATCAGTTGTAGAACGATTATTTAATGTTAAGCCAATAGAACAAGATCAAGAAATTACAACAAGCTCAGTCGTTACGACAAAAAATAATCAATATATTGAAACAAACATAACAATGAATGAAACAAGTACTCCAAACAGTTCAAAGGATGCATCGTCAATTATTTCTGAGGACACTGAATTAGAACCATATATTTTGCAAGTAAAAAAACGAAAATTTATTTGGTACAACAAAAATTTAAATTACTATCAAAAAGAAGCTGTGAGAAACATATTGAAAGGACATGCACGGCCGTTACCTTACGTGATATTTGGACCTCCTGGCACTGGGAAAACTATTACACTTTGCGAAGCAGTTTTACAAATTTTATCAACTGTACCGGACAGCCGATTGTTAATTGCAACACCGTCTAATAGCTCAGCAAACCTTATAGCAGAAAGACTTTTAGATAGTGGCGTCATTGAACCTGGTGTCATGGTATTTTATACATATAAGAACATATCGTTGTTCAAATGGTTGCGAAATTGCAAGAGCTTATTTTTTCAGGAGAGAAGAAAACCACTTTCTCAATTAATGTAAAATTACTTTGCACTGAATTTATCCACCAACTATACCGTTTATATTTTTTATTTTTTGCCTTTTTAGGTACATAGTAAGTAACTAAACTAAATAAATATTGAAAAACAAATAAAATCATGCATTTAGTAGTTCAGATTCGTAAAAATTGCTGTTTCGTAACATTACCATTGGAATGACGATATATTACAGTAATATTACATATATTCGATCTGTAGCTCGAGTTCATCAAACATAATGAAGAAATATTAACTTATTATATAATCGCGTTCGTCTATTATAAATATTTATGTTAATACCTGAATCAAAAATAATTATAATCTGTTTCTCTAACAGGTACGGCTTATTGCTCATCATTGCTTGGGCAGTGATTCTATACCTGACAGATTATTGCCATATTGTGCCACTGCGGAACTAGCAGAAGAGGGAACACATAAAAGAACAAAGTATAATGGAATGGGGCCAAGATTAAATTGCACTATGAGCGTACTTGGTCGTCATAGAATCACTATTGGTACATGTATTGCATTAGGAATCTTGTACAATATGGGCTTTCCTCATGGACATTTTACACATGTGTTAGTTGATGAGGCTGGTCAGGCAACTGAACCAGAAATTATGATTCCACTTAATTTCATTCATTCCGATCATGGACAAGTAGTACTTGCGGGCGATCCATTACAACTTGGCCCAGTTGTACAAAGCAAACTAGCAAAAAGTTTCGGTTTGGACGAATCGTTTTTAGTAAGATTATTGCGACATTTCCCGTATCAAAGAGATCCTACTGGTTTTGAAACTCATTACGATCCTCGTCTCGTTACCAAGCTTGTTATGAATTATCGAAGTTTACCAGAAATATTGGAATTGTCAAGTTTCATGTTTTATGATTCTGAACTAATAGCACAAGTAGGTATATTTACGTATGCATCATAAAAGTTGTTCTTAATTATTAAATTCAACTCCGATTAAAATGTGTAGGTATCATCTAAAAGAAGTAGAGAAGCAAAGCTTTTACGAACATTGGCTGCTGAATTACCAGAAAGGAAAGATTTTCCACCGGCTATAGTTTTTCATGGTGTAAACGGAGAGAATTGTAAAGATAATGACAGTCCCAGCTGGTATAACCCTGAAGAAGCAACGCAGGTATATCTATACCTGTTAAAACTGTATAAGTGTGGTCTCTCTCCTGACGATATTGGGATCATAACACCTTATCAAAAACAGGTGATATATTTGAATGCAGTTTAACCCTAGAACGTCCGAATCTCGAGTTGTCCATAAACGCTCGGCGCAGGGCTCCTCGAACCACACTTCTTCTTACATATTTCTCTTAAAAAAATGATTTTTTATTGAAAATGTTATAATATTCGAGTATTTTATACATCGCAAACAAGATAGCACATGTTTGTTCTTAAAATTATTTTTTATATGTATTTGTAAAATAGGATGGTAGCGTAAAAGAGTATGCTAACATGGAAATAGTTTAAATCTGATTCTTCTAATTCTTCAGTTAGTTCGATTCTTCGTTCTGTGATCGTTTGTTATTTTTTGGAAAGAAGAAAAGCGTAAGAGATCGTGTAATAAGTAGTTCGTTTTCTTTTTCTTATGCACAGTGTTTGCTACATATAGTAACGAGGACTTTTGAATATCAAACTTAAACATTTATACAATAAATAATTTTTTGAGAATTTTTTGCAGACGGAAAATAGTTATAATTTTACGCTATTCGATTTGTGGGTTGGAGGAGCCGCCCCTCCTCTTAGACGTTCTAGGCTTAAGAGATGATTGTGAAACTGTTTGTTTTATTTATTTTTATGTTTGAATGTAGGTTCTCGAAATTCGAGACTTACTTATGGAGTTAGACGTGGCGTTACCGAAAGTCAGCAGTGTCGAAGGGTTTCAAGGTCAAGAGCGCAACGTTATTATTATATCAGCTGTGCGGTCTACAAAAAATTTTGTAGATGACGATATCAAACACTCTCTTGGATTCGTTGCCTGTCCTCGAAGACTCAATGTTGCAATTACACGTGCTCGTGTTTTAGTTATAATTTTAGGAAATCCAAGACTTTTAGCGCAAGATTTATATTGGAGGAACGTTTTAATATATTGTATAAACCGAGATTCTTACACCGGATGTAGCTCCGTATTTTCTGATATAGAAGATTCGCGGGTAGAATTAAACAATTCGTGACGATTCATTGCAATATCCGAAAGAGTACATCTTTATATGCGTTAAGGTATCTTTTACGGAACATTAAAATTACATTTTCATTTTGCGCACCATTTTATGTTCACTCGCATTTTTATGAAAAAATAAAATAACATTGCTAATTACTTAAAATATATTTTCAAAATTATTTTATTTATAGATATATTGATCAATATATCAGGTTCTTTTTAATATAAAATATGTAATAAAGATTATTACAAAGTGTTTAGCTTCCTAGAATTTCTCATATTCGTGACTTTATAATCTTGATTTATAACGTGTATTGTGTCATATAGAACAAATAAGCATTTATATTTTATATTTCAATTTTTTTGGACATCTGTTAGAAAATGTTTTAATTACAAGCTGTTTTTAATACAAGTATTCAATTCTGTGTTTTTTACACGTGTTCCACAATGAAACGTATAGACACATATTACAAGAAACAGTACATCACAATGTACACATGTATGAACTGATACAATATTTATGTAAATATATTTTTATCCATATAATTTCTTCGCAAAAACATACGAATGAAAATATATTAACTTCACGAATATACATATTCGCGGATTCTTTTCGGAGTATAAAATTCAATGAATGTTCATGTTCTGTTTACAGTTGGAGGTATTGTAAGTGCCTTTTTTGACAGTATCTCTGCCCATCATCTCTTGATGTCACAAATTCAGATTCCAAGATGTTTGATACTGTAAAAAAAAAAGACTTTCTATGATATACATATACAATAGAAATAAGAATATTTCGAATTAAAAAGATTTTTTATGTTTTTTATATATGCACAGAAGAGTAACTTAATGAATGGATAGTACCTTGCATACTGTATGTATACCATTCAATAGCAGTGCAATTCTTAGTTTAGTAACTTATTATCTAAAAAAAAACTAATAAATGAATAGTAGTAATATGATTCTCTTTTCATTTTTATTACACGAAAGTAAATATATTATTATAGGAAAAGTAATCATGTAAAGCTAACAAGTTTAGTAGAAGACTGATTGAGCAATATATAATTCAAGTTTTTAATGCAAAATAAGATTTCTTGATGGAGAGAATAATTTTTAAGTTAACCAGACGATTGAGAAGAGGGAATAATACTACTATCTGAAAAATGATTGTGAATGATACTGACCTTAGTTAGTTCCACACTATACTTACAGGGTCTTGATTTTTTGCTTTCAACTTGCGTTCAATTAAGTTTTCTAATGCTTCGCTTCGCACACTCAGTGTTTCAATTTTTTCAACCAACTGTTGATATGGTGATGCAGGCTGTCCACCCATCACAACATGGCCCAACTTACTGTCTATTTTGGCATCTAATCTTGCATTACGGATTAAATTAACAATCCAGCATTCAGCTACATCTGCTTTCATGTTTAATTTCTCAGCGAGCATTCTGTAATGTAAAAGTGTGTTGTATGTATATCAAAAATGTCTTTTTTATTTATAGTAAAAGTAAAAATATATTATTGTACCCAATACTGATACACTGATGAATACGGCAGAATGTCTCGAAGATCATCAAACGAGCATTCTCTACAAATTCACCTAGCAATGCAATCAAGAAAAAGTCATTAAACACGACTGTTTGACATTCTTGCAATTTTTGCCGTGCTCCATCAAAATCAAAATTAACATACAGGTGTTCCAGAAATTCGGTAATTGGGTCACGGTACGTATACGATTCCTATTAACAGAACAAAAAAATAAGTTCGTGGGTTAATTATGGAAGTTTTGGTAGTTTTATAAAATTTCAATAACAAAAAACTGAAGTTACTGTACGCTATTAGAAGTTTCTTTACCTGTTGTATTACTTTTACGAGATCTTTCAATATAGATCTTCTAGAACGATTGACAATAACCGCCGCAGCTAAATATCGCAATATATGAGGGCACATTGTCTGAATAGCGTTTAGGTAACTGAAAAATTACATATAAATATTAGTTTGTCTCTATACTTACCATATTAATATACATGTGAAAACATTTATACATACTGTGGTCTGTATAGAAACATTTCTATGATTAAATCTCTGCCTTTTACATGATTGAAAAATACAAATAAACTCCAATGAATAAGCCATGTGCGTTGTTGCAATATTTGAAGAGAGTTTCCTATAACATTACTATCAATATACTCTCTCAGCTTGTTTACATCTTCTAATGCAGTTTCCCAATTTTGTACCAAAATTTCAGATGCTAATTTTCCCCAAAGAACATGTAAATAATTCTGAAAGTTAAAGATATTTTTTGTATAAATAAACGATTATAATCTTTAAATTATTGCATGTGCATCAGATTTGTGCAGTTATACCTTATCTGTTGGTGGCATTATGAGCATATAGAAATACAAATATGATGTTGAAACAGAATAGTTGCCACACTCGTAACGATACTTTGCTAATTTTACAAAGCTATCCATCATTTCTACTCTGAACTGTAAACATGTAATGAATAAATTAAAATAAATTGTTTATTACATAAAAATCAAATGCAAATATAAAAATATGATAAGGGTACTCATTATTGTCAGTTAAACTTTTCAAACATTCATAACTTAATTAGTTTTCTATATTATAGGAACTTTTTAGTGAAAAAAATAAACTTTTTATTATGTTATTAATGATTTAATTCTACTATTTCTGATAGATTAAGTCAACATTGTCTTAAAGACTTTCCTTAACATAATATATTAACAACTAATTATTTCTGTTGACATTATATTATAAAGCATAGTGCCTCTCTGAATTATAATGACTTCGTAAAAACAGCAGGGCTTTGGATTGTTCATGCTTTCAAGGGTTTTCGTGGCAAGTTCAGCATCTAGGAAGAGCCGATTTGAAAGAAGTAGCAAATAACACATTTAACGGCTTGTACCCTCAAGGGTATCAGAAAGCACACCCACTGAGATTACACCTAAAGTCACTATAGCTCAGAGAGGTACTATACATACACTTGGAACTTATATTAGTATATTATATGATGTATTACAGCTTTTTTTATACTTACATCAGATTCTTGAGTAAGATAATTGTTCAGTGCTTTAGAATCTCTCATATTTTCCATCTTTTTCATGATTTCTTCATTATTCATGAGCGCAACAACAACCGATACATTATTTTGTAAAATACCAAGTTCCTGAAGTACTTCCTGCCGACGTGCTTTTAATTCCTATGATCAAAGTTTTCATGATTCTATGATGTGCAAGTACTCACAGGGGAACCGTACCACGGATCCCTTACATTTTTATCAAATCTTAAGGGACTAATATTGTTAAAACAACTATAACATCTCCTTGTTAGATCTATTCATTGCATTTATTCATACCTCTGGTACTTCTAAGTTAGGATAAAGTTGTTTTCTGATGTCAATTGTGTAATCTATCATATTAGTTTTACTAAGGATATTGAGCTTTGCTTGCAGTAATTGGTCCTCATCGTAAATCTGAAAAGTGCATTCGTAACCAAAACGCATATGGCTAAATTATTTCCATTTTTACTATACCTGTTTTGCAGATAAAAACTCTAACAGAGGAAATACTAAATGTCGATCAAGATATTGACCTATACGCGACGTCAAATCAAATTTCGCCATTTCGGCTTTTAAATCAAATCGAGCGAAAGCGGTCCTAACCACAATGTGTACCACTAAAAAGAGGCTAACCACACTCGGAGTTAACGTCAAAAAGTATAGAACAGTATAGAATAAGTATATTGAACAGAAAATTATAATTGAAATAGGTAGACTGCGGCAGTACTTCCAAACATTACCACTAGAGGACTACTAATTGCATTTGATTGTGAAATCTGGTTATCAAACATCACTGGCCGCTAGATGGCGCTCGCTGTATATTTCCGCGGACAATTTAAAAGATTCATGTTTTCCATAAAATGTTGTTTATAACAATCCCTTAGTAACTATCACAGAGTTCAGACATTGTATAAATATAAATTGTAAATATTAAGAAATTATTAAATATTATTTGTTATTTCACAAAATAAAATTACATTTCCGCTACTTGATTCTCAAAACTTTTGTTTTTTAAAACACTAAAACTACAGTTATTAATATATAATAACTGTAACACTTAAAAAAGTTTTAAAGTTCCATTTATACCATTGTCCTGTGAAAATGTTCATACTTCCAGCAGCATTCATATTCCATCAAAGAATTTACAGAATAAGGAAAAGGAATCTGAAATAACTTTCAGTAGTTCCATACATCTTTATCTCGAATAATTTAGAAAATCTGCGCTCAATTGCTACAGTTGCACGAACAAGAACCAATCAAACTCAAGAGTTACACGAACAACAGTAATAAAGACCATGTTTCAAGCGCATGTTGACTCATCATGCATTGACATCATTTCACTACCGTCCACTCTCCCGACACCTACAGGTAACAATAACAGATTGAATGTGGCCACGGGATACTGCAATTTATTACGCACATATATCGTATGCAGCCGAAGCTTTGAAGATCGTACGGAACATCTACCAGTTTCAGAAGTGAAACTTATCTGCGACGGATAAATCACACTACGTCTGAATAACATTTAAGCCGTGTTTTACTGAGTTTATGGATATATTATAATAAATATATTGTAAAATCGAGTACATAAGTAGTATTTAAGACAATTATTGATAACTTTATACAAATACAGCTGTAAATTGTACATTTTCTAACAATTTTTTCAATAATAAACAGTTAAATGTTACATAAGCGTTGTTTACTAAGCCTATCACTTCCTCTATCCCATATTTTTCATTAATAAAGCAATAATAATTGCTAAATACAGTTAAAATCGCGTTAAAAATAAGATTAATGTTAAATTTGGCACGAAATTTGAATTGAAAAAAGTGCGGGAAAAGTGCAAATTTGTTAGAATTCATGTCGCCACCAAAAGTAGTGGTGGCGGAAATTAGAACGGAACCCAGAAATTCTTGTTTAGTTCGCAAAGTCACCGCCAGATGTAACACTTAAAAAAGTTTCAAAGTTCTATTTATATCATTGTCCTGTGAAAACGTTGATACTTCCAGCAGCATTCATATTCCAATCAAAGAATTTACAGAATAAGGAAAAGGAATCTAAAGTAATTTTCAGTAGTTCCATACATCTTTATCTCGAATAATTTTCTAAAACGATCAAAGTACTAGAAATTTTTACACTTTGAATCTCATTTCGATTTCTAAAATAATCCTAGTTCGATGTAATATAGAACGTGGTTTTATGAGATAGATTCAAAGTTCGCAGCCATTAGCTCGATATTGTCTTCAGTTTACAGTACTTTACCGATGACAATACCGATTGCCCAGGCCTCACCACGAGAAGGTTGCTGCGAGTGGAGGCCCAAGGCAGGTAGATGGAATCACAAGTTCCACATTACCCACCTTTCACAATCAACCTTATAAATAACTTAAATCTTAACTATCTA